GTCTTTCTCTCCCCCCATTTCTCCTCCTCCACCTGGCTCCTTGCTACCATCCTATTCTACTTGCCCTCCCCCTTCCTGCCTTCTCCTTACTTGAAGAAGAACTCCTCCGAAGGGTTAACCGACGGCGCCGCCTGCTCCAGCCAGTCTTGTGTGTTGATAGGAGCGGCGTCTCCTTTGCCTCTGGACGCCCTCTGCATGACCTGCGAGCCCTTGCTGCCGTCCGCCTCCTCCTTCTTCTTGGGGTTCTTGTAGACAAACTTGTCGAGGAAGCTGAGAAATGCAGGTGAGTATGGAGAGCTGGGAAGCGAGAAGGAGGAGGAGGAGGAGGGAGACAGGGACGACGAGGACACGGAGGAGGACGATGACGATGACGATGACGAGGGCGAGGGCGAGGGCGGGGGCGAGGGCGGGGGCGGGGGCGAGGGCGAGGGCGAGGGCGAGGGCGGGGGCGGGGGCGAGGAAAGAAGTGTCACCGGATGGTCTGGAAGTCCTCCAGCGGGTCCCCCTGATACTCGATCTTCTTCCTCTCCTTGAGCTTGTCGGCGAAGATGCGGACGGTTGGATGGAAGTGGTTGGTAAGGATATCGATCTCCGTCACCCCCGCACCCTTGGGGCAGCAGAACTCCGGGTCTCTCTTGTAGGGGTCGTACTGCTCCAGCTCCTTCCTCTCCTCCACAACCTCCAGGTTCTCTGCCTTGGCCCTGAGCGTCTGGAGAAACAAAAGACAGGCGAGGATGTCAGCAGATCATTCCTCTCCTCTCCTCTCCTCTCCTCTCCTCTCCTCTCCTCTTCTCTTCTCTCCTCTTCTCTCCTCTCCTCTCCTCTCCTCACCTCCTTTCCCTCGTCCAGCTTCACAACCCATCGGTCGCCGTCCGAGGCCTTCACGACTCCCTCCTGCTCATTGTACTGCGTCGCCTTCACCAGGTTCTTGATCCTCACCCTCGATCCAGGCTTGATCTCAACGGCAACGGGAGGAGCAGCAGCAGCAGCAGCTGGTTTCTTGTCCGACACGATCTCGATGCCATCATCGTCCTCATCATCTACAGAGTTCTGGGGGGCGAGGGGCTGGAGGAGAAGGTCCCAGAGCTGTGGTCGGTGGCTGGTGATTTCGGAGCAGAGGATGAGAGCGCCGCAGCTGAAGGTGACGGTCGTCGTGCTTGAGACTGCAAAAAAGTGAGGAGAGAGTTTCGAATCTCCTTCTTCCCCCTTGAAACTGTTTCATTCGTCTCTCCCACCCCCTTCCTCTGTCCTCCAGTTCCTTCTCATCGCCCATCTACCGCCATTACACCTCTTGCCTCTCATTCTCCTTTACCCCTTGCTCCCCTCCCCCTCCGATCTATCCTCCTTCTTCACGACCATCTCGTCCTCCTCTCTTTCATGTTCTCATTCAAGTCCTTAACAGCTGATCGGGCTCACCTTGCAAGAGCCTCTTCAGAAAGGAGGCAACGCGCTCCAAGTTCTTGTCGATCTGGGCAGGAAGAATGATTGAAAGAAAGATGAAAGAACGAGAAGCCAGAGAAGAAGGAGAAGATAGACGAAGCCGAGGAGGAGGAAGACGAGGATGAAGAGGAGGAATGAAAGTGGTTTACTCTGAGGGACTTGAACAGGAGGTTGAGAAACATGGCGTGCTTGGAGGACGTTCTGAGATCTGTAGCTGCGAGCTGAAAGCACAACATGAGTGAGAGAGACATTGTAAGTAAAGTGAAGATGAGCAAGGAAGAGAAGAGGGAGGGGGAGGGGGGGGGACCTTAGAGTATAAGGCTCGATAGTATCGAGCTGAAGGTATTCCATGGGCATCAGCTGTCGCTTGAAACAAAACCTGAGACCTCGGCTTCAGCTCTTTCTCTTCAAGTACTCGAGCTACTCCTCCTCGACCTCCTACTCCTCGACCTCCTCGACCTCCTCCTCCTCGACCTCCTCCTCCTCGACCCCCTCCTCTGCACCACCTCTCACTCCCCATCTCCTCTTCCCTTATCCTCTGTTCCTTCCTGACCTGAAGCGCCTGGATGGAGGTGTTGAAAGTAGCGACATAGACCATCTTGAAGATCGAGTCCAGATGTTCTCCTATGACAGCAGCAGCCACTGGCAGCTTCTCGTCTCCCTTGACATCCCGCTTCCGCTTCTTCTCCTCCTTCCCGCTCTTCTCCTGCACCTTCTGCGCTTCTTCCACGGGGAGGAAGGGGAGGGCGCGGTTGACCCCCGTCAGGATGGCAGTCAGCGTCTTGTCCTCGAAGTTCTTCTTCTCTTCCATGTGCTTCCTGAATAGCCCAAGGTACGACCCCACGAGCCCCTTTGCCAGCTCCCCGTCCTGCTTTGCGAGGATGATCTGGTTCAAGAAGGCTGTAGCGTAGTGCTTTGCCCTGCAGATGAAGCTGAGCCGAGGAGGACGAGGACGAGGGGGAGGGGGAAGGAGGAGGGGGGGGAGGAGGAGGGGAAGGGAGAAGGAGGAGGGGGGTGGGGGGACGAGGAGGAGGAGGAGGAGGAGTGGGAGGGGGAAGGAGGAGGAGGAGGAGGATAGAGCAGCTTCACAGGGACAGGAAGCGCATGGAGGCAAGAGGAGGGAGAATCGAGGGAGAACCGGAAGGGGGCAGGGGCACGTACCTGTCAGAGACGTTGGGGCGGAAGAGGAGGCGCTGGACCTCGGCGGCTACAACAGCTTTCATGGCAGGATGCTCTAGCAGGAGTTTGTTGAGGAGATACATGACGTGAGAAGAGACCTAAGGCGTGTAAGTGCAACTAGAGTGAGGAGGAGGGAGAAGCAGGGTGCAGTGAGAAGCTGCTACAGAGGAGGGAGAAGGAGGGAGTGGCAGGAAGGAGCTGAAGAGGAAGCGGGGAGGAGATGGAGGGATAGGAAATGGGAGCCGAGGGTTGGAAACCTTCTTGTCAGGGTCTCCGAGCTTGTTCACCAGTAAGAAAAGGTTCGCCTGCTCCTGCTCCGCCTTGGTCCGCAGGAGATCGTAGGACATCCTGCAGACTTTTGTCCTGACGTGCGTGAGCGAGTCGTGGGTCGCCGCCTCGAGGTGAGTGATGAACTCTGCGAACTTGTGCTTCACTGCATCCTCAAAGTACCACATCACCAGCAGCGTGGGGTTGCGAGCTGCCTGCTCGTCAACTGGCTGCTCATGGAAGTACGTCAGCTTCCTGTCGGGGAGGAGGTCGGTCTCGAAAAGATCCTTAAGGGTCTCCAGAGCCATGGAGTGCTCCCTCTTCCCTCGCTTCGACGCCATCTTCAGCAGAATGTCCAGCACCTGGAGCCTGTGGACGGGCGACTGTTGTATCATGAGCATCATGGAAGCCATCTTATCGTTGAGGGTGCCAGACGACATGACTTTCTTCAGGAAGCTCGTGTCGTTGTCTGAGCCTCTCCCCCTCCTCTCCGATGCTTCGAACCTGGTCACCTCTGCATCGAGCAACTGACGAGCCTTCTCTTTCAGCTCCGAGATCCTGTCCTCGTTCTTCTTCCTCTTCCCTCCCACATGCTCAGCATGCTCCGGTATGAATTCGTACCACTTTCCCATCCCATCTCTGGGCAGGTCAAGAGCTTTACTGTTCGATTCTGCTTGTTGTCCCTGAGAGGTCGAGATGTCAGCAAGCCCCGAAAGTCGCCGGGTCTTGCCTCACCTTTGCATGCTTGAAGTCGTTGGATTTCTTCTCTCCGTCTCTCTTGTTGTATCCACCGGATTTAGGAGAGCGATGCTTGTCGCTCCCATTGAATTTCTTGCCTTGCCTTTCATTCTTTGGAGAACCTGCATGCTCATCTTAGGCCATCCACCGCCAGCCGTCTATCTCGCACCTTTCATGCCTTGCCTCGATTTCTGTGGCTGCATCTGATGTATCTCAGGTAGTTCAGCAATGATGGGACATATCAAAATCCTGCATAGAAGTCAGGGGTTATCGTGAATTTTGTTTGTTCGTTCTTCAAAACATCTCTCAACCGCTATATCCCAAAATCCAGTTCACAATTTCGTAATCTCTTGTCCGTTGAGTTGGTTGTTCTATTTCCTTGAAGCCTGCCTAGCTTGAAGATTCACATCTTCTACATCCTCTCACTCTGTCTCTCTCTCCACATCTACTTTATCCATCCCTGTCATCCCCTTCGTTCCTCTCCTCCTCTCCTCCTCTCCTCCTCTCCTCCTCTCCTCCTCTCCTCCTCTCCTCCTCTCCTCCTCTCCTCCTCTCCTCCTCTCCTCCTCTCCTCCTCTCCTCCTCTCCTCCTCTCCTCCTCTCCTCCTCTCCTCCTCTCCTCCTCTCATAACTCCTCCCCGTTTGCTCTCGCATTGCATTCCACAGCCGCACGTGAAGTCAACGGGAACCATAACAGAGTAACGTTCATAACCGTCTTGTTGAGCCGGGCCCGGTCAGTCCGAGGGCCCGGTGAGAGTAAAGTGAACCGTACGTAGAGATTTTTGGTTATGAGCCTCGTCTCTCACTGCTGGGGGTGGGGGGTCCTCAATGAGGCTGCCTGATATTTTTGTGGTCGATTCCAGCTAGCCAGGACAGTCGGAGGGGGTAGGGGTGGTGCGACCGTTCGTCAAATGTACGGATGTAGAACAAATAGCAACAATATCTTTCATCAACTCTCTTTCTTTCAATATTTCGTACAATATATAAATACATAAATAAAACTGATATAAAGAATACCAGAATTCTCTATAAATTGTTTTTAGTTTGGTACTGTTTTCAGCCCCTAACAATCTCTTTTTTTTTCGTGAACAAATGTTCACACAACCCCCTCCCAGAATCCTCAAAGCACAAAGTACCCCATCAGTTGACTCATCAGCAGGGGGTCCCCATGTACTAGTCACTTCATGAAATGACTACCCTACCCCCTCGTATCCCATCAGGTTTATCTCTACTACAACGAGTTGTTTCCACCCTGCCTTCATCTACCACCCTACCCCATCAAATGTTAGTCTGGGTCCAAAAATATTCTGAGCTCTTTGGTACCCCCCTTTTTAACAGAGAAACACCCCCGACCTCTAGTCATCAGCACCCCTGCCTGTTCAGTGTACCCCTTCATAAACGATGCGAATTCAATCTACCCACCCCCCTTTGCCAGTACCACCCTTCTGTTTCCCTGGCTCAGACACGCCAGCATGGCGCGACAAAGACCAGGGACGAAGCGGCTCATGCGAGGAAGGAGCAGATTCTAGGAGCTCAAACCTCCTCCTCCGTGCTTAGACTTTGATATACCAACGTCAGACACGCTCTCATGCAAGCAGAGGAACTGCTGATGTCATCAGATTGACAACAACAATCCCTAGTCCACCGCACATTCGTGTCCTCTTTGCAGGCAGTGTCGGATGCATAAGGAGACCGTGTCTTCGTAGGAAGGTATCGCTCGACATTTTTAAGGATGGAGTCACTTGTCTACTCACAATAAGTCGACGTCTTCTCGAGCATGACAGCTGCGATTGTGCAGGTATATTTTTTTTTGATTTCGTAGTCCAGGAGCGAAGACTGGAAACCTTTTGGTCACTTTGGTGGCAGGGTATCCTCGATAGATTCCTTCAGAAGTATCTGCACAATGTGACGACTGAGCACGCCACAGTATGGGGAGGACAGCTTGTCTTCAAGAACGTGGAGCTCAAGCTCGACGTACTTCAGGTAAGAAGTACACGTTCGCGTGGTTTACTCAGCGCCGACTTTTGGTTTTCAGGAGGAGATAGGTCTGCCAGTTGTGTTTCGAAGAGGATTTGTGCAAGAACTTAAGGTTTTTCTCCCACTAGCAAACCTGTTGAGGGAGCATATTCGCATATCTTTCTCGAATGTCGAAGTTGTGGCGCAAACTCCAACATCAACTTCGGGTCCGGAGAGTTCCAACAGTAAGCCAGCGGGCAACAGCAACTCCACTGATTCCACAAGGAAGCAAAAGACAGATAACGAGCAAGAGGGATGGGTGCAATCGATCTTGACTCGAATCGCGATCAACATAAAAGTAGACGTCAACAACCTGGTCTTCAAGTATTGCACCGAGCGGTTTGTTTGCACTTTCTCCTTCAAGACTCTGTCCTTGCAGCCCACCAACAGCATGTGGCAGCCTGCGTTCTGCGACTTTGCTGGTCCAACCAAGGCAGCCTGCAAAGTCCTGAGCATCGAAGACGTCACCTGGTGCCTTGACGCTGTAGATGATGGCGGGCGGGTGCCCATCTTCCAGCCTCCGATCATCAACAGGGAGCGAATTAGCGTGCGAATCATTGCGAGGAAAGCTCCTGATGGTCCCGTATCGCACCCTCAGTATCCGTTCAGACTTCCAGCGGCCCAGCTGGACATCGTGGGCAAGTCGCTGACAGCCACGATAAACGGCGCGCAGCTCGAGATGCTCTATCTGCTGATTGAGGAAGTGGATGATATGATCACGAAGATCAAGAAAAAAGTTACGCCGAGCAAGCCGGAGAGCAACGAAGTGCAGAAGGAGAACTCCATGCGCTCCTTCGCGTCCCGAGAAGGGGAGGAGGAGACCTCCTTGGCATCTGAGATGGAGATGGGAGGCTGGGTGAGGAGGCAGTTTCTCAACGGAGAGCAATCCGATGACTCCGACTTTGGGGAGGAGCTGTTTGAGTACGAGGGTTTGAAGAGCAGAGGAAGAAGCAGGTGGGCCATCGTTGATGCATGCTTCCGCATCCACCTCCAAGACATTGTGATCAAAGTCACAAGACAGACTCATGACTTTGCTCGTGACAACAACTCCGTACTTCTTGTCCAGGTGCGTTACCTTGTAATCATCCTCCCCTCTCCTTACGCTCGCTGTTCAGGCTAATCTGCACGACCTCTCTATATATCAGAGAGCCTTGAGGATAGTGACACAGGATGACGATTGCAAGCCTTTGCCTATCTGCAGCCCTGGACTAGCTGCCAAGAGAAGCAGAAGCGCGTGGTCAACCCCGCCGCTCTCTCCTTCTCCAGCAGAGCTCGAGCTGGCAACAGCCCGCAGCATTTACGACTCGGACTCGATGCCGCAGGGGAGCGGCTGCAGCTCGACCGGGTGGACTGATACTGTTAATGTTCGAACGTTCGTGTTCGACGACACGATCGTGTGCCTGGGTGACGCCGTCCTGTCATTCAAGGGACCTCCTTTGTCGCATGAGTTCCTGTCATGCAGAAGAGGAGGGGTGGATACCTTCTGCAACCAGTTTCTCTCCGCCATGGAGCTGTTCTCTCGCGAGGAGTACGGCGAGAACTGTGCTGTGGTGAATCACATGAAGGTCACGGATGTCTTTGATATGGAGAATGCGGAGACAGCTAGTAAGATTCAGCGTGTCTTCAAGAACGACATGGTAGACGCCTTGTGGCCGCTGCAGGAGTGTGAGGAGGAAGAAGCCTGGATAAGCTCTAGTGAGCTATGTTTTGTTATGGGCTACTCAGCCATGAAGCAGCGCGTCTCACGGGCACACGAACGAGTTTCCTTCTTGTCGCACTGTGAGGTCCAGGCAGCGCATGTTGCAGCATCCCCGGGAGGAGTTTCGAGGCTCATGGATGAAGAGAAGAAAGCTTACCCACAGGATGGCCTGGGCTTGCACGTGAAACTTCGACCTGTCGAGCTTCTTCTTCACGATCGATTGCTGTCTGTAATTAATAAGCTTGTTCCAAGCTCGAAGAATTCCAGGAAGATGTCAAGCTCACCCGCCAAGTCTAGACCTGTTGCCCTGGAGCAGATGTCGAAGGATTTTACAAAGTCGATCAGCAAGATCCCACATTTGTTGGTGATCAAAGTTGAAGTTCAAAGAGGTGAGTTTCGTTTTCTTCTTTCTACTTTTGTCTGCATACCTTTGTATAATGCTCTTTATCGTACGCTTCTCTTGTATCTCCCTTTCTTTCCTGCTTCTTGGATTCACAGACCTGCATGTCCTTCCTCGTGTCCGCTCCTGTGGTCCATTCCGTGAATTATCTTCCAAACTCCGCCCGTCTACCCTCTAGCGTCTGCTGGCATCACCATCTCCTGACTTCTTGAGCAGTTCGCATCTCATATGCATCCTTCGATCCTCTCATGATGGCAACGCCCGACGGGGCAGAGCGTTGTCTGATACTCTCGGCAGACAGCATGGAGTTACAATCATCCTTTCATGAGGACGGAGATGATGAGCAGCTGGCTCCTTCATCAGCGTTTGTCACGCCTCATGCTACACCCAAGAAAGACGGGAGCTCGAGCGAACCCTCGTCGTCCTACCGTGCAAGGAGGCCGGAGAGTTCTCTCCACACTGCATGCATGAGCTCGAGGCTCCGTGTGAATCCACGAGTGCGAGGAGGGATGATGAGCGGGAAGGTGAGGACAACAAGGAGGAAACGGGGGATGGGGAGGCGGAGGAGCAGCAGCAGGAACGATTGCATGCCGCTGAACGTTCTCTTTCATGACAGATCCTGGGGTTGCGATGTGGCATAGGGGTGACATGTGTAGAGGAAGGTCGTCTAAAGATCAATCACGTTAGCAAGGACTACATCTTCTCCTACAGAAGCTTCACTGACAGTCCGTCAATGGTAACGCTCAAGGTGCCGCACACTTGAATGCCTTGCCAACCCCTCCACCCCGTGAGCTTCGTGGGCAGATGGAGATGAGAAGATTCAACGACGAGATGGCACTGGGGGCTCGACCCCGAACTCCTTCGCCGCTGGGCGTGCAGGTAGGGAGGAGCAGGAAGAGGAGGGAGCGTTTTGATAATTGCTTCTTTAGCGAGAGCCGAATGATGCGTCCATTCTTCAAGAAACTTCAGCCAACGGCGACGGGATGAAGTTTTCCGCGGAGGTGGAGGAGGTGAAAGTCTTCGTACTGGTGAATCGCATGCTTACGTTTGTCTTTGCTCTTCTCCGCCTCCTCCTCCTCCTTTTGTGGCTTCTTTCTACTCTCAACCACTTTGTCAATCCCGCCTCTGCTCCTTTCTCTTCGTTCTTTGACAGGTGTGCTTGTTTCTCTCCGACCACGACATGGGTTCGGTCCTCTCTGTCTTGTGCCCTTCGCCTTCGCTTGAGCGGCATGGAGAGCAAGGAGGACGAGGAGGAACCATATCAGATCAGCAAGAAGACAGAACCGAGACTCCAGCGCAAGGAGGAGGAGGAGCTGGGCTGTCCATCCTCCTCCGGGGGACTTTGCTAGACATACAGACAGGCTACAAGGGACTTGCCTGCCGGGTTGAGGTACCGTACTCGTCCTTTGTTAGCATCTTCTGATCTACTTCGCCTCCTCGTGTCTTCTTCCTCCTCCCCCTGCTTCCTCCTCCTCCTGCAGACATCCAGCTTGCACGTGCAGGGGCCCTGGGTCGATCTCCACCTGGCAAGCTCAGGTCCAACCTGCTGTAACAGCTCCGCCCTCTTGACTCTCCTGCTCTCACAGATGCTGATCGAGCGCAAGGACTGTCCCCTGCTCCTCTCTCGCTCGACGTTCAGATACCATGGGGAAGGATCCACCTGCAGACGGGGATGCAGCTACTCAACGAGCTGCGGAGATTCCCGAGGCACATGCGGATCAGCCCGGGCCTGTCGAAGCTCGTCGAGCACGGACTGGTGCGGAAGAAGAGAGGAGGAGGAGGAGGAGGAAAAGCAGGAGGAGGAGGACGGAGGAGGAGGAGGAGGAGGAGGAGGCAGCAAGTTTTGGGTGACTCCGCGTGCAGGAGGGGAGGGTGAGGGTGGGAGGGGTTACATTGAGCTTGTCGATGCTCGACATGATCCCTCTCATTTCGAAGCTTGTTGGTGATGGAAATCTCAAGGTCTTCATTCCTCCCTCCCTTCTCCTCCTCCGTCTCCTTCTCCACCACCACCACGTCCTCCTCCTCCTCCCCCTCCTCCTCCTCCTCCTCGATGCCTCACCCCATCGCTGCCCCACTGCTTGGACCGACTCCTTCCCTGCTCGTTATAACTCTGCCAGTCCTGCCTGCCATTCCTTCCATTACCCCGTTGGCTCCCATCGGCCCTCTTCCCTCTCCTTTGTTATCTTCCTTTCATTTTCTTCATCTTAGATTTGCATATCTCCCTTTTACCTCGTCTGTTTTTCTCCTTCCCTCTCATACTACTCGTCTGCAGAGCGGTCACTACGGTAACAAAGTCCCTGACGTGGTCACGTGGGAAAGGCTAGTCGACGCGATGACACAAGTGAGCGCCAGAAATCACGAGCCCCTCCTTTTTCTCTTCTTCTTCCTCTTCTTCTTCTTCTTCCTCCTCCTCCTCCTCCTCACCCCCCGCTCTCCTTCCTCCTCCTCCTCCTCATCTTCCTCCTTCCTCTCCTTGCGTTTGTATTCACTCTTTCGTCCTCCTCTCTCACCCTCCTCCCATTCTATTCCAAAACCTCTTGGACTGGCTCCGTCGGATTTCTGTTCACCTTCCACAGGTCCGTCAACTACAGCGGGAAAACGAGATGCTCAAGGAGCAGGTGAACTTCGCCTCCTCCCTCCCTCCTCCTCCCTCCCTCCTCCTCCTTCCCTCCCTCCCGCCCTCCTCCTACTTCCCCTCTCTCAAGGAGGCCAGAGCCTCAAGAACGTCTCCTTCCTTTCCTTGAGCGTCACCGTGACTCATCACTGTCAGATGAGCAGCCTGCAGACCCTGGAGGGAGACCATGGCGCCTGCTTGCGCTCGAGCATCCGGCCGCCTGTAGGGAGAGGTCTCCCATTGGAGATGATCGGGCATGCCAGCCAGAGTTTCAGCTCTTCCAAGCATAAGAAGGGCAGCGGCGCTGTGGATGGTGAGCGAGTGGAAGTCAGAGAGAGGAGGGAAAGGAGGGACGGGCAAGAGGGATCGGGTGGAGAGGAGGACGAGGCGGCTGATGGGGTCGCAGGGTCGCAGGTGCAGGAGTGGTTGGGCATGATGGGATGCCAAGGTCAGCTGGTGACCAGCTAGACTGACATGGAGTTTGACCTGTTGACTTGCAGACGGGGGAGAAGGGGGAAAGGCTGCTGGCAATGTCTGCAACTCCTCCCACTGGACGAGGGTCCGTACCTCCCTCCTCTTGCTGCGTTCCCCTCGTTTTTTTTGTTCTGCCACTCCACCATCCCCTCCTCCTCCTCCTCCTCCTCCTCCTCCTCCTCCTCCTCCTCCTCCTCCTCCTCCTCCTCCTCCTCCTCCTCCTCCTCCTCTCCCAACCCCCATCCCATCCCACTCTCCTCGCCTTCTTGCTTCTTGTCGGGCTCATGCTTCAACAGTTGATTCTATCAAGAGACTATGGCTCTCCTCGAAATCTCCCTGTGCGACCTACGGTACGCCGAGTCGAGCTGCTTCCTAGCTCAGCTCTGCAGTGATGTAAATCTGCAGATTGCCGGGCTGGTGACTTACGCTCTCCTCCTGCACTTCGTCATCGCGTATCTGCTACATGATCTCTCCAAGAGAGGTCTGCCACCAAGCAAGCTAGAGTGAGGGCGAAGGTGGGGAAGGTGAAGCGGCAGCGGTTGCGGGCGGAGCCACAAGGGGGTGAGGAGTGGGAGACAAGGAAGTGGGTTACATTTATTCTTTTATATCAAAGCAAGCATCACATTCAAAGTCTTCACAGCAACATCCCCATGCCCGCAGACAACAAGAAGATCAGCGCGACCTGCCATCGGCCGATGCGGCAGGAACTCGCGGCCCCGGTGAAGGGGTAGAAGATGTCGTTGGGGAGGACAGGAAGCACAGAGGGAATGGGGGGCATCACCTCCACAGCCCCACCGTTGGCGATCTTGAGGAAGGAGACGGTGGTGGTGATGGTGTACAAGTTGGGCTTCGAATCGTCGGGCTGCTGGGCGATCCACAAGGACTGACCGTACACGATTCGTGCTCCGATGATCTTCTGCTGCGGGTTGCGCAGGCTTCCCTCGTCTGCTGTCAGAACCTCCAAGTGGATCGAGTTGACCACGTTCGAGCAATTGCCTCGCGGGTCCCATGCTTGGCTCGTGCTGGGGTTGCCGGGGGTGTCCGCCAGCTGCTGCTGGTTCGGGTTGTTGGGGACCCAGTCCAGGTAGTTGCTGGGGTCAGAGTTGCCCCAGATCCCCAGGCGGAGACTGCTGGGATAGCGCAGGAGGGGATGAAGCGCTCCAGCTGAGCAGAAGCTGGCCAACTGCGACCTGGTAAGCTGCAGCTGGCAGCCGAGTCGTATGTCCTCGTTGAAGAGGACAGGCACTCGCTCTCTCCCATCAAACCCTTCGCTTCCTCCGGGGTCGCTGGTGCAGCTCGAGGGCCATGCAGTACCGACTCCTGAGGGACAAACGCGGCAGAGACCCTTCGAGTCCGCCATGTTCGGGAGGGTCAACCCGTCCAGCAGTTGCTCGATCACTGTGTTCCCTCCCGCGTCTGTGGTGGACAGGCCGGCAAGGATCGGCTTGCCTGTCAAGTATCCTGGGTTGCCAGACTTCTGAATCTCTGCTCGAGCCACTGCCGTCACCTTCTGCTCGTTCTTGGCGTTGAGGAAGGAGGCGTCGAACTGTTGGGACATCCAAACCTCGTTGGAGGAGGAGTAGGGAACCTTGTCTCGGATGCGGACTACCGCCTTGACGCTGCTGATGCCACCACTCCCATCCAGCACGAAATTGAACCGGATTGACTCCAAGACATTCTCGCAGACCTTGTTGGTGTTGTCTTGCTGCGGGGTTGGGATGCTGGGAAGTGAGAGGGTTTCGAGGAGCGTGCCGTTCTCGGTTCTTCGCACGAGGTAAGCATCCACTTGAATTTGCAACCATTTCGTGATGTCAGACCACGAAGCGATATCTGTTCCAAGAGGAGTCTTAGCGACGTATCGGTTTGAAAGGTACTGGGTAGCTGAAAGGGAGGAACTAGCCTGACAAGCGTTTGCCACCAGACCTCCTACCATGCACGGCAGACTGGGCGCCGTCCCGTCCCAGTAGCGTACAAGGTTGCCTTCCTGGCAGAACCCGTTGGGTCCTGGGTAAGGGAGGGAGAAATGGCGCAAACCTATGAAGGAATCGACCTTCGAAGCCAGGTATTCACCATGCGCAACGGCAATCGGCATTCCCACGAGGTAAGCCCCAGCTGAGACGAAGTCTTGAAGAGGAGGCGAAGGAAGCCAGACGCCATACTCCTGGTTGCTGAACTCGATACGCACCTTGTCGTTTGTGACTGGATCAGGCTGAGGGATGAAGAAATAGCCGCTCGAAGGATTGTTGTTGCGAGCCACACAGAGGGGAGAGTTTTCAAGAACGGTCGGAGAGTTGATCTTGAGGAAGGTGTCCGGCGAGACGCACAAGGGCACTAGAGCAGGAGGGATGGAGGAGGCGTTCGAGACCTTGATGGGAACTGTGTAGGCCGTCGAGAACAAAGCGACCTCTGCTCCTGTGCAGTCACGTCCGAGCGCTACCGTGTCACAAGGGCAGTTGGCATCGCAATAACTCGCCGTCAGGTCGCACACGCAGGGCCCCAAGTCCGTGTTAGAAGGCTGAGGTCGAACGAACGGGGTGGCGTTGGCTGTGGGAGCAGGCGATAACACAGACGGCAAGTTTGCAACTGAGTACGGGGATGGCGTTGACGAAAGGTTGTAGAACTCAGCAGTAGTCGTGTAGTACTCAGTTGATGAAATATTCACGATCGAGGTTGTGAGTATTCCTGTCGTGGTGGTCGGCGCAGTTGTATGGATTCCTGTGGAGCTGGCGCTGGTGAGGTTGGTTGCGTTGACGCCCGTGATATTTGTCGAGTTTGGGTCGGCTGCCCTCACAGATTCAAAGAGAAGGGTGGCCAGGATAGCAATGATTGCCTTTGAAGTCATGCTGCGTATCCTTTTAGAGTCTTCTGTTCATGCTCATGCGCTTGCCAGGCCTCTGATCTCGTAGTCTCCTATTCCCGCTTCCTCAATATCACTACTCTTGCACCCTACCCTGCTCGCCCTCACACACACTGTCTGACTCTCGCTCAAATGGACTTCTTCTCTGCTTTTCCCACTTGTCCTTCACTTCTCTCCTCTCTCTCTCCCTCGTCTCCTTCCCTTCTCTCCTCTCTCCTCCTTCTCTTTCCCTCCTGCCCTCGCCACTGCTCTTTGCCCTTCCCGCCAACGACTGTCCCCCCTCCTCCCCCACACACAAATCGGCTGAAGAGCCTGCCTCAGAGTTTAACCAATCGCCCGGCAGCCGGGTGCCCGGCCCGGGCCCGGCCTGCGGGGCAGTGGCCGGGCCGGGCCGGTGGACGGTGCCCCATCAGTGAACGGCGTGACTTGACCAGAACTGAGTCCGTTGCAAGCCGATGAGCTAGTCATCAGACATTCTTTACTTCATTACTTTATTATGATTTAACCTGAATGAGAATTGAATTCAAATGTCAAAATAATCATTAAAAATTTAACTGGCTCAATCCGAGGTTTCTTGCGAACGTCCTCGCAGGTTCTGCAGCGTCAGCAAGTAAACTCGCCCAATGAAGTCGGAGACGACGACCTGCGGTTGGCCTTCCGCGTCGTCAAGAACATCCATGCACGTGAAGTCTGTCGGGTAGGGGCTGTGGAAGCGACATACTGTATCTCCATTGCTGGCATCGACCACAGAGACGACCGGGCAGTCGAGAATGCTCGAGGCGGCTGACAGCACCACGATGTAACCATCGTTGCAGACCCAACGGCAGTTGCGGTCTTGCAACTTGGCGTGGAGCAGGATGGGATCGTCTGCCTCTGTTTCCACCTCCCCGCTGCTCAAGTTCAAGATCGACAGTCCCGTCGCCTTCACCGTGTACCCTGACCCCTCCATGGTTATGACTGCTGCACGCTGCCCGTCGCCAGAGACGCTCACCGACATGGCCGGCGGCCCGACGTTTTCAGTAGCGTTTCCTCCTTGCAGCAACTTGATCGTGTGATTTTGACAAGCTGCAACTGCCACGTCTCCAGCTGGACTCCAGTCCATGTCCATCAGCCATCCAGCTTGGGCCCAGGTGGCCTCAGCGTGCTCGCCGTTCATCAGAGCAAGCGAGCCTCCGTGCCCTCCGACGAGGACTTGGTTGTTCGATCCTGGTTTCCACCTTGTGGTGGTGCCTGCAGCAGGGAAATTGTACGAGTCCAGCGCCGTGCCGCCCTTCCCATTAGGGTAGCTGATCAGATAGTTACTGCCATAGGTGGTAAAGGCCCAGCGCTCGCCGTCAGGGGCCAAGTCAGCCTTCCTTTCCACCTGCTTTTCTGCCCCGGCCTCAAGTTCCTCATCTTTCAACACGTCCAGGGGGTCAGTGGATGCAAGAATCGACGTGATCGTTTTGGTCAAGGCCCGCAGCTTCTGACCCCCCTCGACGAATCGGATGCCTGCCAGCGGCCGCTCGTCGAAACTGTCCTTCCTCCCGCTGGGGTCGTTGAGCAGAACGTTCCGACGGTCCCACGACTTGGCCGAGCGATCGCTCGAAGCAGTAAGGATCAGGTCGCCAACCCAGGAAACCGCAAACACCCAGCGCAAGTGACCGACAATCTTTCCCAGCAGCTGCCCAGTCCTGCAGCTGAAGACTCGACCTACCCGATCGGCAGCTCCCGTCACGATCTCGCTACCATCTGGGGAGAAGGCGCAAGTCCACACCTCGGAGACATGCTCTCGCAGCCGCAGCCTCATCCGGAAGGAGCTTTCCTTGCCGTCTCTCGTGCTGCTCCATAGCGTGCACCCGCCCTCAGACAGCGCTAGAGCGATCTGAAGGCCATCGCTGGAGGTGTCAACGCAGTTGATATGGCTTCTAGCGGTCATGCGAGCAACGGCTGCTCTCCTGTCAATGTTCCAGATGGCTGCGTACCCGTCAAGACTCCCCGAGATCGCGTACGTCTCCTTCCAGTGCAGAAAGCGGACGCTCTGCACAGGTCCTGTGTGCCCCTCCAGCGCTGCGAGCAAGGAGCCTCTCTTCTCCTCGTATTGCCACAGGTAGACGATCCCGTTGCTACTTCCTACCAGCACTTGGTTCTCCCTCGGAGCGAACGCGCAAGAAGTCAGCCATGCAGGGTGAGGGCCGAACTCGACGAGGGTTTTTCCGCTGCTCGCCTGCCACAACTTAGCCCAGCCATCTCTCGCCACCGACAGGACGGACAACGAATCAGGTGAGTAGCGAACGTCCATCACGATGGCCTCATGGCCGACGAATCGAGATATCTGACGGCTTGAGAGTTGCTCGTAGACGAAGCACATGCTGCCAGCCCCAACAACGTAGCTGCTTCCCTTCGGCTCGATGTCGCAGCAGAGCATGGGAGACTGGCACAGCTGAGTCTGCGTGCAGGCATCGAAAAGTAGGGGGGCGTTCCTCCACTGGACCCAAGGACGAGGATCCTCGAGAAGGGAGGCGGCAGCAGCTACAGCGCTGACAGTAGGAGCGTTGCAAGCAAGTCCCATCAAGGCGTTCGGCTCCAAGCAGAGAACATGGAACCACTTGCGGACGAAGCGGAAGAAGTCAGTCACGTGGGACAACCGTTGAGCTTCCGCAGGCTCTTGCTGGAGGTGAAGCAGACAGTCACTGAAGTCGATGAGAAGATCCTCCGCGTAGTTTCTTCCGCTCTCAAAGACAGCCTCCAGGTACCCGAGGTCGCAGAGGTAGCTGATCAGCTGTTTGTGCTTCCCTGCTGCACGAAGGGCCCCTCCTAGCTCCTTGACCTTCTGTCTATTCGGGAGGCCGAGCGGCTGCTGCTGACTTGAGCTGGAAGTCTCGAAGCGGAGGGGCTGGGGGTCGATTTGTCGTTCGGAGAAGCGAGCAGCGAGGAGGCCGGTGAAGTAGTCGGCGAGGGAGGAGTAGTGCCTCTGCCGGACCTCCTGCATTCCAAAGTATCGGCTGCTCGCCATCTCCCAGAACTGCCGGTGGTAGAGGTTGAGGACGGAGACGCCGTTTTCTCCTCGCTCAACGAGGTAGTCTCCCAGGTCCCTGCGCAGACGGGAGAATACGAGGGGCGGCAGTCTCCGCATGGGAGGATCATGGTACTCCAGCACAGACCCCGGCACCCCTCGCTGCCCCAGCACCTCGTCGTTGCCGCTGATGAGGTCGAGGAAGTTGGTTTCGCTGAGGCCACAGCGGGAGGCGCACAGGAGTCCCATCATCTCCGCCACGAGCCGCGACCCGTGCAGCCTCTCCAGGTCGTCGAAGATGAGGGAGATCAGCCCATTCACGCTGGACGGCAGCTGGGCTGGGGCATCGTGCGACCTCCATCGCATCACCCGATCGAAGAGGAGGCGGAGGTGGAGCATCGTGACCGACTCGACCTGCGTGAGTGAGTCCCTCAGGATCTCTTCCTGCTTCGGCTGAAGCCCACGGCCGGACTTGGCCATCCACTCCTGCAGGATGACGATCCCCTCTGCCTTCTCCACTCCCTGAATCTTGACAATCCATTCTTCGTCGAGGGCTGCCCGGAGAGCTGGGAAAACTTTGTACTTGTCTTCGGGGAGGGTCGAGACTATGACGCGGGTATGCGGCATGTCCGGGGCGGAGGACGAGGGGCCCGGCAGCCACCGCCAGGGGTCAGAGCGCTCGTGGTCCTCATCGGAGAGCTGGTCGAGCGAATCGATGAGGAGGAGAAGGCGTTTCTCAGCTGAGGATGCAGCAAGGCAGCGGTGAAACTCAGCCACCTGCTCGTCAAAGTCTTCGTGGGCGGCTGCTGGAGGATTCATCGTGTAGACCGAGGAGACCTGTTCGCAGATGCTCCGCATGAGCTCGACGGCACTGGAAGACGCGGCCGACGTCCCGCAAGCTCGGAAGATCACACACGCCCTGTCCTTGAGCCGTTGGTGCGCATCCACAGCAGCCGCGCTCATGGCTGACGTCTTGCCCGCCCTGACTGCCCATGGAGGCAGCGAACCGTTGGCCCGGCCCTCTCCATCAGCTGCGCCATCTTCTCCCTGACCTCCTTGCGCCCAAAGAAATTCCTTGAGCGCTGGAAGGCGAAGGAGCAGTGGTGGACGATTTCTCGCTCCAAGGGGCTGAGCAGCCGCCTCTTCTGCAAGCTGGCAAGGATCTGATGCTTGGTCTCTCCGACAAACTTGGCCGCAAGCTCTCGGATGTAGCTCGCGTGCGTCGGATTCTCGAAGGAGATCCCGTCCTCGCTCCAGGGGACGGAGAACTCGAACAGGGAAGTGGCTGCTGTCTGTTTCACTCGTGCACGAAGATCGTTGAGCAGCTCACGGTCGGAGTCCCTCCTCGTGTAGTAGATGGAAGCCTTGCCCGCCGCTTCCCGCGTCGCTGCCTCCTCTAGGCCCTCGATCGTCCTCATGAGGACGAAGGCGGAGACCTCGAGGTTGGAAGGCTCTTTGAACAGTCCCTCCAGCACCTCCCTCTCCGTAACGCTGATCAGCCAGTTCTGCTTCACCGACGGCGGGAGGCTCGACTCCTCCTCCACGACCTTCCAGATGGCCCCCTGCATGATGTCCTGCGCGCCCTTCCAGAAGTCGTTGTACTTGATGGGCTTCTCCTTCATCGCCGAGATCTTCTGCAGGTTGTACACGGGGGGCACGTGGTTGTCGTCCCTCACGTACCACTCGCTGATGGTGCTCTTGGCATCGCCGTCAGGGATGAAGCCCAAGATCAGCTCCAGCTCCTCCTTGTCGCATCGGTTGGGCAGAGCCCTCCACCCGTACCTCTCTCCCGACAGGAACACGAAGCTGGCGGCTGTCGAGTTGCGCAGGCATCGCTCAAGCTCTCCGAGACAGACGTCAATAGTCATGTGATCATCCGTAGCCTCATTGCGAACTCCCCAGCGCAGGTCCACGACAGAGAAGGTCAGGCCAAGGCTCTGGCAGAAGGACTTGAGCATCGGGTACGCGAACTCCATCAGGTAGTTGCGCTCGGATGTTGTGTCGTCAAAGGTGCTGGAGAGAAACATCGTGACGTTGGTGGCGACATTGATCCGCTCGACCTCGTCGAAGAATCCTTCTTTCAGCCTGTTGATCCTCTCATCGTAGAGCTTCGCGAACTCCTCGGGGTTCAGATTTGATTCCTTCAGCGACTGCTCCTTGACCATGGCTTTCAAGTTGCTGACCTCCTCCTCCTTCTCGGCACTGAGCGCGATCTTCCTCTCAGACTGCTTCGACCTGAGCAGCGTCGAACGAGGCTCAGCCGTGACCTGCGGCGTGACCTTGTCGAGCTCTACTACGACGGCGTCTTCTTCCGCATCTTCAACCTCGGAGGTGTTGAGAAGTGTCCAGCCCTCGCTCCTGATGCTCACTGGGCTGCTGGCCCTGCTTGGCACCCCCTCCTCGCCTCTCGCATCTATCGCGAACACGACGAAGACATAAGGAGTCTCCTCCTTGAGGTCGGGGAAGCTCAAGGATCGATCAGCAGCAGGGCTTACCCGTTCGAACCCTCCCACGCCGAGCCCAACGGAGTGAGGGAACGCAACGACCTTGAAGGAGGCAGCCGCCCCCGAGGGCTCGTCGTCAAAAGCCCAGCTGACCCTCAGCATGTTTCTCCCCTCCTCGGTCACGACAACTGCGACCACGTCGGTCGGAGCTGGGATCGGGTTCTCCTTGCCGAACATGGTGAAGTTGTTGATGCCGATGTAGTGAGACCCGTTGGTGTCCAGCAACTTCAGCTGCCACCAGCGTGCGACGTGCACGTCCCCGAGCCCTCGCAGGATCACTCCTCGATTGGCCATCACGTGAATCTCCCGCTCATCCAGCTCGCGGTCTGAGACGAAGGTCCACACGGGGCTCTTGTCGCAGACCCGGTGCCCGATGAAGTAGTAGGACTCGATGCTCGAGGATTCGTTGTCATTGGAATCCGTGTTCCCCGGCACCTCCTGGCCGAGCCGGTTGCACTGAGATCTCTGGAGGAGGTAGGCAAACTTCCATTCCTCGTCCTCGGACTGCTTGCACCACAGCTCCATCGTCCTGGGGGAGGAGAGGATGTTGGTGTTGTAAATGGAGACTTTGGTGACGAGCACGGGAGCTCCCAAGTCGATGACAACATGGGCAGGTGGGCAGCAAGTGAGCCAACCAGGTATCCATTCCTGCTGACCTGAGAAGTTCACGTGGCATCCCTTCCCGTCGACCAGTCGCTGCTTGTCATGGATGCTGTGGTGTGTGTACAGCCATGGAGTTCTGTCGAGCACGAAGGAATCTCTAGGGAGAGAATCTACCAGTGTTGCGCCCTGAGACAAGGTAGAAGCATGTCAGTCGATCTGCTAAGGCGTTCACCATCCCTCCTGACCTGATCAGTCGCATGCACTTCTGTTTCGCTCTCCTCGTTGTGCTCACCGGCAGCGGCTGGCTCCTCCTCCTGCCTGGGAGCGTCTCCTAGATCCGCCCTATCACTTCGCTGCTCCTCTGCAGCAGATGTTGGCAGCTGCTCTCTATTTTCAGGTTGCTGCTGCCCTGAACTGACTGACTGCGACTGTATGGCCTCCTCTGCCCGAGAATGGTGCGCCTCCTCTGCAGGAACGCGTTGCGGCGGCGGTTCCGCACGTGATGGTGGGCCCAGGGGCTGCACAGGAAGAGCTTTGTCCGCTGCTATGCAGTTGCCCATCCTAGCTGGCGGTGTGGTGCCTGAGGGCTGCAAGAGGTGTAGGATGTAACCTTGAGCAAGAAGATGAGTAAGAGCAAACAAGAAACGAGCATGAGAGTGCTCTGTGACCTTGACCTTGACCTTGACCCTCTCTCCCCTTCCTCTCACTTGTTTATCTTCTGCTCCCTCCACTCACACTGTGCCAACTCCCCCCTCCCCTTCCCCACCTCCTCCCTCCCGTTCTCCTCTGATCCATCTTCCCTCCCTCCTGTATCCTCTCTTCTCTTTCCCGCCTCTCCATACTCCCTCTCTCCGCTCGCTCCCTCTCCCCCCCCGCTTCCCCCTTCCCCCTTCCCCCTTCCCCTCTCCGTCCCTCCCTCCCTCCTCCAACCGCCCTGCCATCCCCTAAAACGTTGGTACCGCAGTCCTCTGGCCCGGTCCACCTAGCAGAACTACAAAAATGAGCCCTGCAGGGAATGGCAGGGAGGGGGGAGCGCGTAGCCGCAAGATGAGAAGGGAGGGCGAGCATGGCGGCGTCGTTCGGAGGAGGGTGGTCAGACATGGCAACCTTGAGCTCGTGGTACTCGCTATCCTCGTCTCAGCCCCCTGCTCGAGAAGTGAGTCGGGAACGGGAGGGGGGGGGGGGGTGCGGGCTTTCACTGACGGCCGGCAGTCTCCGAAGCCTCGACGGCCTCGAGCGCTGAAAGTCTCGGTTGGAGCGCAGGATCCTAGTGAGAGGAGGGAGGAGACATCTACCTGCCGAGCCCGCTGACATCTCGCCAGCTTCCCTGACTGCTGCTGCGCTTCATGCCTGAGGATCAAAAACAACTTGTCGTATTCCTCCAGTAAGTCGCGCACGAAGCTCCTTACTCTCCGATCCTCATACTGTATCAGGTGACGAGGATCGTCCTCCTGTCAGGCTAGACGACAAAGAGTTAGTCGTGCCCTTGGAGGGGAGCGGCATTCATGCTGATCGCGCAGATCTGGAAGTGCTGAGGAGCGCGGAAGGCGTTTGGCAGTGAAATGGATGGGTGAAGATTTGAAAGAGATGAAGAGAGAAGACGAGAGGTTGTCATGACGATGACAGCAGAGTTGTGCGATGAGAGGTGTGTTTGGGTGTCGGAAGGAGAACATTCCAGGTGTTGAGATCTTGTTTCTTTTCTGCTGGGTAGGCTGAAATGCTCTCCAGGAGAAAGAGTGACAAGAAACGTGATTCGAACAGGTAGCACAGGATCTTTCCTTGAAGGCTCCTGCTAATTCCGCACCTCCTGTGCGTAGCGATGGTGGCGTGAAGAGACTGCAGCACAAGGAGTACTCAGAGGAGTTCCTGCAGGTTGTAGAGCTTGTCAGTGTCTGCTGCTGCCGTTGACCCGCACGTGCCAGTCGTTGCCTCTCAGGGAGTATCTCATGGAGGAGAAGCCGCAGAAACTGGGGAAAGGGAAGCAGGTGTAGAGCCTCCTCTCCGTCAGAGGAAGGGGATGATGTAGAGCTACAGGCCAAGACAGTCTTGTGCTCTGTGAAGCCTGTGAACAACTCGGCTGTCCCAATCAAGGTTGTGGTGAAGGAGTTCAAGAAGTATGTTGCTGGAAGCATCGCTCCTCCTCTCCTGCCTGACTTTCAGCTTAGGTGCAGGCACTGGCAGTTTTTCCTTCACAATGAGTACCTCTCGCTCGCTCGTCTCAACAGCAGGTGGCAGGACGTGAGTCTGACTGCCCTCACCTCACCTCCTGTAGGAGTGATTGCCCTGCTAGCATACCCCGAGTGCTGGGGCTGGAAGGTAAGGGAGGGAGGGAGGGAGGGAGGGAGGGAGGGAGGGATGGAGGGAGGTACAAGGTACAATGCAGGAGAAGATGGAGGAAGAGTCGAAAAGGCAAACGAGCGAAAGGAAGAGGATACTGACGAGGAGGGGGTGCGGGAGAGGAGGGAAGCGGGAAAAGAGAGAAGGAAGGGGAGAAGAATCAAAGGCGGGGAGCTACTTCGGTGACGTTGAGGGGAGCAGAAGCCAAGGGGAAGGTTCTCGTGCAGTTCTTCAATGGGTCCGACTTGTACTCTTCGGGGCCACCCAAGGACAAGCAGCTGGCGCTCAAGGTCTGGAAGGAGTTGGCCGAGGCAGGTGAGAAGAGAGAAGTGAGGTCGACTGGGGATGAGAAGACGGTTCGAACAGTCTGCTTCGCCAACAGCTGTGAGATCTTCCACTGCGACGTCAACCCCAGCAACATCCTGCTGGACAGTGAGCAGGAAGGGGGGGATTCGCATCACAGCATCCTGCTGGTGGACTGGGCGTGCTCGAGGCAGGAGGCGTCGCTAAAGAGCAAGGTGAGAAACGAGCCTGCCCTCCTGCTGTTCGTCAGATTTGATGGAGGTGACCAACGGCAAGAGGGGGCACTATCAGCCTGGAGAGATGATGAACGGGGAGGTTTGCTTCCTCTTGCTCAAGCGTCTTGTGCCTCCGTCACCCGCTGCAGGTGGGAAATTTCACTGACGTCTTCGGCACGGCGTCTTGCCTGCTCTGGTTGCTGTGCGGACGAACTCCCATGTCACAGGTCTGCTCAGGGAGGAGGAGGGGAGAGCTGTTGGAGGAGGAGGGGAGACAGCAAGGAGGGGATGACGTTTCTCAGGCCCTTGTGGGCGAGGGAAGGAGGAGAACGACCGAAGACATCAACCAGCTCCTTCAGTTCTGCTCCTGCGCGACTCACATTGATGCTGGTGACGAAAGATGGCAGGAGCAGCCTCGGAGACTTCCCTGAGGCCTCTGTAAGACATCTGCCTCCTCCTCGACTGTGCCAGTGAACGTCTGTCAGGTCCTGGGCATCGCAAGGATCCTGGAGAAGGGGCTGGAGGTAGGGAGGAAACGAGGCGACACCGTTGACGTTTGTCGGCAGGAGGAGAAGGGCAGCCGCTACTCCAGGTGTGCAGCATGGCGATGGAGCAGTGCGAGTTGACTTGTGATTTTGTTTCTGTACACAGCGTGGATGAGATGTTAAGAGCGTTTCTGGACTTGAAGCTCATCAATGAGGTTGAGGGGAGAGAGTGATCTCAATCGTACAAGCATCAGCCCGCCAATGAAAGACAACACTAACCCGAGAGGGAGAGTACATTGCATACAACAACAAAGAACAAAACAATATGGAAAGGAACTATTAAATGGAAATGAATAAGCTTGACAAACAATCTTTCAGAAACAGCCACAACATCCTCCCGATTTCTCCTTGACCTCATCACTAGAAACGTGTGAGGACGACTGCAGAGAATCAATTAATATGTGAACCTCGAGGGCGATTTGCTTTCTTCCTGCGTCTTATTCTCCTCTGGTGAATTTTCTGCTTGTGCCGTTTCCTTCATCGAGTTTGTAAGGTTTTCTGCAGCTGAAACATGTCAAACATGCAAACAAGTGCCAATCACTCCCGTCACCTGGGATTTCTGGTGTTGCTGATAAACAAAACATTGTCAGCAACGTCTATGTAATATATCACAATCACCCCCGTCACCTGGGATTTCTGGTGTTGCTGATAAACAAGACATTGTCAGCAACGTCTATGTAATATATCACAATCACCCCCGTCACCTGGGATTTCTGGTGTTGCTGATAAACAAAACATTGTCAGCAACGTCTATGTGATATTTCATTCTTCACTCACCATCAACTTCGGTGAGGACCAAATCTTCAGGAGTAGTCTGTTCGAACTGCCGTCAACACATCACCATTACCAACTCCACCAATCACCTCAACCGTGACTGCTGCTCGTTCTTCCTCAAATTTTTTCTGCATTTTCTCGCGTTCTATCTTCATCTTTTCTCGCTCTTCCTGCAACTTCCGCTTGTTTGCCTCTTCTTCCAGCTGGAGCCTCTTCTTCTCCTCTTCGTCCCATCTTCTCTTCCTCTCCTCTTCAATCAATTCCTAAGAAATCCGGTTCAGGGGACTACAACAGCACAAGAGGCTTGCTTTTACCTCCTGCTTCTTCATCTCTTGATATCTCTCTTCTTCATTCTTTCGAATGAATGTCAACAAGATCGATGCTTTCTACTCAAAGATAACCTCAAGAGCTTGCTCATCGTCGTCTGGGATGACCTTGCGAATCGTCTCAGCGAGGAGGACAAACATCTTTCGTCACGCACCTGATCCTCCAGCATCACTTTGTCGCCCTTGCTGAACAGTTGTACAGCAAGCTGGACCTCTCCAGTGACTTGCTGAGCTCGCAGAGATCATGCACGTTGAAACATCTCGATGTCACCTCACCTCAATCACTCCGCCTACTTCCTTGCCGTTGATTCTAAACTTGATCCGTCGATACCCTACAACGTATGTGTGATGAGCTCAAGAAGGAGTGGGAGACAGATCAGCTTGCCTAGGTTGACTTGGATCTTGTCTTTCGTTCCAAACTGGCAGTCACTCTCATTCACAATCTGAATCGGGCACCGAGTCAATTCACGCGTGAGGATGAGGAGAGTTTGTGGAAAGGAGAGGAGGGAGCAGAGGGAGGGGAGTACATACCTTGTTCCCATTGAACATGTCGCCATTGCTGTCCATGTACCAGGCCTACCAAGATTCTTCTTCAGAGAGGTGCAACCCCCGACGCTCATGTCAAACCAGGTCCAAACAGCTCTTATCGTTCCAGTTGGATCCCACCCTTACCAGCGGACGCTGCACGCCTTCCATGGTGTCAATCTCAGGACGTTCAGTGTGTGCGACTGATCTCACCGATACGGATCGGTGTCCCCGGGAACTTCTTCAGAATGGTTATCTCCCAATGGCAATGTCCTCCTGGCATCACCCGTGATCAGAATCTCCAGGTCAGCTGCACCTGCTCGGCAAGAGAGCAAGGAGAAAGACGTGTATCACCATCAGGGATGATCGCTACTCCCCGGACTGTTGGTACGTCCCCCTTCACGGGGACTGGGAGTCAGGCAGATGCTCTATTGTATGGAAGCGAACAGACCTGTCCGCCTCCACCGAAGTTTGCAAAAGCTTGGTTGCCCTCTATGGTGACCAGAGCACACTGAATGAGCGAGTGAATGGATGAGAATGTTCATTGTAAGGCCACCTGGCTCCACGAAACACCACCTTCTTTAGGTCTTTTGTTGTATGCTGCAATGGTAGGCGCCATGCTGCCGCCCGAAGGCTCTGCAGAGCTCGAGTGGCTGCTCCTCGTTTGCATTCTAGCTTGTCCTTGCGAGGGCTCGGCTCCTACACAGGGTGGTAGCGCAGTGTTGGACTATGCGCTCAACTCTTCACCGACGGCGAGGACAAGGCAAGAAGGGACAGCAAGGAGATCTGAGGGCTGGCTGACGAGGATGTGACGAGGACGGTCAGGTCGCATGGGAAGGAAGCTCGTTGACTTGCCGGCTCCTTATCTGCGCATTCCGATACAGCCTGCCATGATATTCCAAAAGGATCCTGATTTCGAAGGGGGTGGTCCAGTACAAAGGTGGTCGTAATAGTCAAGGAGGGGGGGTCCATGTGTCTCATTGATCTAAAAAGAGGGTACTTTGAGTGATTTGGAGGGGGGTGGGGGTGTATTCGGAGGCGGAAAGCTAGGTGTGGGTGGGGTTGCTGTTTGTCATCAGGAGGGTGGGTCCAACCAATGGGGATAAAAACGGCTTCTGTAACGGTCTACCACTGAAACATCCAAGTTGCTATTTTCTGCTGTCGCGTACTTGGAGTAGCGGTTTTTTGCTGCCTCCTCCGTTTCCTAGTATTCTGTTGAGGCGGGTTTGTAGGTTTACTCCTCATGCTCCTTTGTTTGCTCCGGTTTGTCAGGCTTTCTTTTTCAGTCATTCAAGAATCGATTAGTTGCGTGTAGTTTTATCTATCAATGATGATGTCATTGATACCAGACACTGCTGATATCAGACTGTTGGGCTAGTCCCAGTTAACTTGTAGTGCTCAGTCCCGTGTGAGCATGATCGCTGTGGTTACTGTCCCCTTGGGATGACGTGGATAGCTATGGGAGTTGTCAACAAGACAGCAACTTAGTCCCTCTTGCGGTGAGTCACCTGAAGGAGCTTGAGAGCCAACCCGGTGCCACTTGGCCTCCCATGCTGCCTTTATGCTCCTGTCGAGCTCTGCTGTCCACCTGCAGTCGCTGGTGAGGGCGGCAAGGGAATCGGATGAGACATGGCAAGGAAGAGGGAGCAGAGGGAGAGAGCGGAGGATGGAGAAAGAGGGAGAGGACGACGACGGAACAGTTATGGTGTAGCAAGGGAGGGCGGCTGCAAACGTACCGCGCAGTGTCAAACATGTTGGAGGTATACCTGTACCTCTGCATCTGCTCCCGCACCTGCTCCAGCGCGCCTGTGCCCACCGATCAACCGCTGGCCTGCTACCGGACAGCGACGGCTGACCTATGTCAGAGCCGAGGCGGAGGGCCATGACCTTGTAGTCCTCGAGGTTGCGCACTGCGGAGAAATCAGGGTAAAGGAGCGAGGAGGAGAGGAAAGAGAAGGGCAGGGAAGGGAAGGGGAGGGGAGGGGAGGGCGGGGTGGCAGGCAGGGCGGGGAAGGGTAAGGCAGGGAAGGGCGGGGCGGGGGAGAGGTGAAAGGATAGGGAGGAGTGATGGGAGAGGAGGGAGGAGGGAGGAGAGAGGAGGGAGGAGGAACTTTTGAGGGAGGAGGAACTTTTGAGCCACCGATGGTTGAAGTCACATTGGTGGAGTATACAAGGCATGCAGCTCCCCTGTGAACCATCATCTGCCATCAACACAAGGTGAGCAGCTCCTCCGTCGGATCCTCCTCCTCTCAACGCGCTCTCCTCCCTCCCCGCCCCCCCAAGTCCTTCTTCTCTTTCACCTCCTCTCGTCATCATGGTCCTTCTTCCCTCTTCTCCACCTCCTTCTCCACCCCCCTCCCTCTTGCTCCTCGTCCTTGCCTCACTTGATGTGGTACGGTTATCACAGGCACGTTCGCCCAGAGCGCATCTCCAGCGCTAGTGTGCGCGTTGTACTTGGGGGCATCAAGAAACAAGCTGCTGGAGCCGTGAGCTATCTTGCTGGCCTGCTGCCAGTTGCCTGTCACCGGCACTTGGAGAGCTTGTCGACATGCTCGTAGTAGTCTCCGATCTAAGACGCTCGGAGTCATCGGAGGCTGGCAGGGAGGGTCGACGAGGAGGAGGAGAAGGAGGAGGATCAGGAGAAGGATCAGGAGGAGGAGGAGGGCGTGGCGGGGAAGGGGGGGAAGAGGAGGAGGAGGATCAGGAGGAGGAGGATCAGGAGGAGGAAGGGACCTTGGGGTTGAAGACGAGTCGAGACGGGTCGACGCCCTGCACTCAGAGTCGTCTGTCGCAGCTCACGAGCTCTAGAGCCTCACCTTCCTGCTGGCAAACTGCCGCATCGTGACCTTGGCCTCCTCCGCGCACTCTTGAAGTCTCAGCCTAGCCCACTGCAAGTGAGTGGCAAGCATGTCCGGGAGGAGGAATGGCTGACTTGGAGCCCGGAACATGGAGCAACAACTCCATCCAGACCTGCGGAAGAAGTTGAGGGGGAAGGGCAGGAGGACAGAGCGGAGCGGAAGGGAATGGACGGGAGAAGAGGGGAGGGGAACGGAGCGGAAGAGAAGGAAGCGGAGGGCAGGAGAGCAGAGGGCAGGAGAGTGCAGGAGAGTTTTCAGTGAGTGCATACGGAGAAGATGTCTTCATCCATCTTCCACACGTGGTGGAGGGCACAGAAAACAATTTCATCCTCCGGCAGCCGACCCTGAAGCCTCGAGTCAGCCAACGGGTCTGCCCGCCTCCCTCCCACCATGGCGTGCGTTGGGACTCGAACAGTCGCTCGGTAGTCGTTGGGCAGGTAGGGGGGAGGGACGAGAAGGAGCTTCTCAGAGTAGATGCTCTGCCATAGCAGATGAGACGTGCTTGAAGGACAGAGGGAGAGGAAGTGCCTCAAACTCCGGAGGAGAGGCGATCCGATCTGTGATGATGAAGTCTATCCCAACAGCCGCTCCTGCCAGCTTCATCCTCACTTCCTCTCTCTCCTCCTCGGCGGTTCCGCTCCACCTAGAGTCCCGGGGTACTCGCAGAAGGTGAAGGAGAGAGGGGCAGGGCGGTGTGCCAAGAACTTGATCCGGTGGTCACCACTGAAGCCCTGCACGGCGACGGGGAAGAGAGAAGTCAAGCAACAGAGGAGGAGAAGCAGGAGCGGGAAAGAGAAAGAGGGAGAGGGAGAGGATGAGGGAGAGGATGAGGGAGAGGATGAGGAAGTGGAAGAGAAGCAGGGGGAAGAGGAGCAGGAGCAGGAGCAGGAGCAGGAGCAGGAGCAGGAGCAGGAGCAGGAGCAGGAGCAGGAGCAGGAGCAGGAGCAGGAGCAGAGGAGGGATTGCTGCAGGAGAAGTCAGGCAGCAGCATCACCGAAACGTCGATAAGAACGTGAGGACGGTGGGAGTTGACGAGGGTCGCAAGATCCTTATCATTGGCGATGTTCCCCATCTTCACATCGTCATCGCATCTCGCCCAACCCCCACCCTCGCTAGCCGCTACCTCATAGAAGAAGTCGCAGCTGCCGCTCACGTTCCCCCTCAGGTCGTTGGCTCGCAGGTCGGGCTTGAGGGCGAAGCAGTGAACTTCAAACGTCCGCCGGTCGTGGAGAGCAAACACTCCTCTGCTCGCGGATAAAAGTAAGGCTGACTCCAGGCCAAAATCAAGGGGAAGGGAGGGAGAGGGAAAGAAGGAAGAGGAGGAGGAGGAGGAGGAGGAGAAAGAAGAGGAGGAGGAGGAGGAGGAGGAGCAGCAGCAGCAGCAGCACCTTATGGCCGATGATCCTGGTGATTTCTGAAACCCAGCGCCTGATAAGAGGGAGGAGTCAGAGAGCTGACGAAGCAGACCAAGGACGCGTCAAACCTGACGCCCATCCTACTCGCAGTTTCCCGCCCTCGTATCTGCAGCACGTCACTGTTGTCAGTATGGGAAAAGATTCGAGGATCTCGCTGCTCACCTAGGATAGGAGGGGAAGAACATGGTGAAGTCGATCCGCGCTGCTTGCTCCTCTGCCCACAGATCGACCCACCTGGGGAAGCAGCGTCAAAGGGGAAAGGGAGAGAGACGGTTGCTTCTACCTGCGGTAGGTGGCAAGAGGCAGGTCTGTTGGAGGCGTCCCAATGATAAACTGGTGAAGAATGTCACCGGATCCCAGCGCAACTTTCCCTCGCAGTCTCACCAGCATATGAGCAGGAGCAGGGAAGCTCTTGAGGTCAGTGTCAATTCCTCCTTGAAGCTGCTCAACGAACTCCTTCACGAAGGAATGCTTGTCAAACGAAGGCTCGGGGGAAAGAAAGAAAAGTTGCAAATGGGGGGCAGAGTTGAAGAAGGAAATTCGTGCTGGGATGAGGAGGAGGAGGAGGAGGAGGGAGGAGGAGGGAGGAGGAGGGAGGAGGAGGAGGAGGCAAGCAAGCATGCACGCAAGGGTTTCAATACCTTCATGTGGAATCTGTTCTTGTCCCACTGGCTCAAGAGGGTGAAAACTTAGCAAGACCGACAGCAACATCAGCACCTGGCAAGTCCAGGCGAGGGAGAGGACGAGGTTTGCTCGAGCATACAGGTCCTGCCTCAACCATTCACATCCGTCATGCGTGGCATCAGCGTTCTCACCCCTCGATGGAGTTGAAGGGCTCGTTCCAATGGTCGGATAGCGAGTGTGTAGTTAGTGTTGTCTGCGACAACTATGTGACCCTCCTCCCCTTCCGGCCCCCTCCCGGGCTCTCCGTTCACTGGCTGTCCTCTCCTTTCACCTCCTCTTCCTCTGTTTCATCTTTCATACACGTCTATGCTGTACTCCTCATCCCACTCTTCTCCACATCCCATCCTTGTTCCTCGCACCTGAAAGAGTTCCTCCCATGACAGCAAGCGAGGGCGCGTGGGTCGGCTGGTTATGAATCACTCTCGTGAGGGGGGACATACATTCTAGAGCACCAAGATGCGGAGAGCGTTGCTGAGGGCTCGGACGCAGTCCCAGACCTTTCAATCGCTCAAAACCACTGGAAGGCTGACGCAGAACACAGCGCACGACATGTCAACGTCAACGGTCAACGGCCATACAAACAAGCAGCAGCATTCGATCATGATGTCAAACTTGACATGCACTGGTCATCACCATGTCATGAGTTCTGAAGAAAGTCCCCAGCTGGTACCAAGCATTCACGTCCGTGGGGTCGTCTTCGATGCCTGGTCACACGTCATGCCGCAGGGAGAGCCTGACACAATGCCATTCACCAGCTTGCAGCGACCTCTGACCGTCCAGGATGCGACAGGTTGGAAGAGAGTAGTCACTCAGCTGTAGAAAAAGTCAGACTCCTTACGCAGCATTCGAAGGCAACACTGGGAAGGGACCTGAGAGCTTTCTGACGCTACAACATCGCACTCCATCCATCGCTCGAGTCGACCTGATCCAGGCAAGCCCTTGGAGACTTCAGGTCAACTGAACCAACCTTGTCTTCCATCCTCACCGGATCTCCAGCTTGCAGCATGACTTGTACCTTACAGGAAACCAGTCACAAGGCCTTGCAACGGGTGTTGTTCATTCTCGCAGCAGCACACCTGATCCAAGGCGATGGAAGCAAAGTTTGGGTCCTCGTTCACCATGTTTTGATACTCATCCTGATAGATGACTGCAATCAACGCCTGGCAACTGAATGAAAACAATCACCTTGGACTCCTGCTTCGAGCCGAAAGCGTCCAAGACAACTGAGATACAAACATCAGGCATGAAAACACTGTTTGCATACTCACCAATCATATTTCTCCTTGCCGTTATGTCATCAGGGTCAAGCTATCAAGCTTTCAGCCAAGGAGAGATCGGCCTCCCTTCACCTCATATGCTCGTTTGAACATCTTGAGAGCTGCCGTGTAGTCCTTGTCTCGAGCCTGTGGGGCGGTCAGTCCTCCCTCGGGGAATCAGACTGGCGTCACGTGGATCAGGCCCAGTCGGGTGTGGCAGGCAGCCGCCATGGGAAACACATCGAGCTTCACCCCCAGACCTCCTCCAACGCCTCCTGCTTGTATGGCCTCGAGCAGCAGCGACCTTGCTGTACTCTCATCGCCTGCGATATGGTGGCGTCACCGAGTTAAATCTTTGTGTCAACCAGACTACCCTCTACATCCTTGAGCAGTGCCATGTTGTACAGAGCTGACGCCTTGTAGAAGCTGGACAGTCTCGAAGTTTCCCTTGGAAGAGAGGAAATGTCAGGCAAGCTCGCTTCCAGGAGGACACGGGCAAGAGAGCCAGGTACCAGAAATGCTGCATGGCTTCTTCCCATCGAGCGGCATTGAACGCGTCGATCCCCTACAGCCACGTGCTCAGGGTCAAGACGGAAGGAAGCAGCCAAGTCACCCTTCCAAAGTGTCTCCGAGCTCTTGCCCCTGAAGTTGATGAAGGTGAGTCCAACATGGGGCAGCCGCGGCTGAAGCCACTTCCTACCTTCCTCACTCTCCATGAGACTCATGTGCTTGCGGTATGTCTCCCCTCGGGCGAGTCCGCTGAAGTGCAGGAGGAAATAAAACATTATCTGCTCATCCCTTGTCAAGACACCGAAGGGGTATCAGCCATTGCAAGACAATACCCAATGTCGCTGGATCATGACGGACAAGGAGGACCAGGACAAGTTTCAGCTTGAAATTCTGTGATGAAACCATTGATAGAACAGACAACAAGAAACGTCAGAGTTCGACACAACTTTCAGACTTTGCACACAAGAGGCAGACTGCAACCTTGTGGAGTAGGCCGATACCGGACTGCAACGATTCCAATGGGCTCAGGTGATCCTAATCCAAGAGAACCGCCAGAGGGGCATGGGCCGTCCCTTCCAAGAGGCTGCTTCTTTCAACTATAGATCGTCTTGGGGATGTCACCAGCTCGTCTTCCTGCCCCCGCGCTGCCCCTGCTCCCCACGCGCCGCCATGCCTGTGCTCCTGCATGCCTGGCATGCAGTATCAATCTGTCGGGCAGATGAGATAAATGAACTTGCCTTGAAGTCAGTGACCATCGACGGTATGATCACCGGCCGCTGCCGGGCCGGGCCAGACGGGCCAGACGACTCGAGTCCGGGGGGCCCACTGGCCAGGCCGAGACCGTACGGTACGGTCAGTCCCGACGCGCAACCGGGCCACCGGCGGGGCCGGGGGCCGCAACGTCTTCCCCGGATCACTGAGTCGCCAGCACTGCGCCGCGGCACTGACTCAGGCGTGGACTCTTCCGCTTGACTGAGTTCCGCCCGGCCGGGCGCGCGCCGCGGGCGGTCGCCGGGGGGACCCCGGCCCATGGACGGCTCCCCGCGGGAATGGCGGCGGGCCGGGCCCGGGGGGGGGGAATGGTCCTGCGCGCAACTTAGTAAGTGCCAAAACTTGGGGTTCCGATTTCTCAGTGCGGTCGGCAGGACAGACGGTGAGGGTTGGTTCAGTCTCGCCGCTGTCACAGTCTTTTCCGAAGGCTCTCGGAGGCTCAGAGTCTCCGATCGGACGGCGCCGTTCGGCCTGACTCAGTGAGCCTGACACTGTCTGAGTCACTCAGTGTCAGAGTCAGGCTCCCTGCTTGTCCTAGTCGTACTGAACTTTAACTTAACTTTGAATACTTGACCTGAAGTGCTAGTTAAGTTACCTTCAAGGCGAGGTCATCATCGGAGCGCTGCCACACTCAGAAAGAGGCGCTTCCAAGAATGCCTGGGCGGAAAGAACTACCGCCTCTGAAAAAAAAGCCTTCAGTGACGAGCTCTGGAAACGAAAAGAGCTCTTTTCCTTCTACCCCTACCTTCCGCCTCTATCATGGCATTTACACCTCGGGGGGGATGAAGGGGTACTTTCTTCTGTGTTTAGAGGGGTCGGGACCCGGGGGGCAGGTTGGGGAGCAGGGGCGCAACATAAATTGGTGAGAGTAAAGGGGTGAGAGTGGTTATCTCAAGCAGCCAACAGCCGCCCATGCAAGGCAGCTGACCCTCCCTGACAACCCAACGCGTCCATATGGCCTCCCTCGTCTCTCGTCCTCTCCTCTCTGCTCTCCCTGCACAAGTTCTCCTCGCTACGAGAGCTCGAGCCATCACCTCCCGCCGCCTCTCTACTCTCCTTACTCCGACCCAACAGCCTCTCCTCCTCGACGACTCAGCCGAGCCCGCGCTCTGGCAATGCCTTCCTGACTGGTGCAAGGGCCACAAGAAGTACAACCAGGTCTTCATCCTCGGAGAGTCCTTGAGTGCGCGAAAAGACAGATTAGAAGACAAGCGGGCACCAGTGAAGCCCGGGAGCTTTGCGAGCGCAATACAGAGGAGGAGGCGGCGATACACAGTTGCACAAGATCCTTTTTGGGGTAGATGACATGCGAATGTAAATATAGTTCATCATGTTAGCGTGTGAAACTTTGGCTTGTAGAAGTATTGATGCCATGATGAATACATCATTGATACCTGGACTACTAGACTCTGGCAAAACAAATTGTACTCATCACTTCTGAAGGTCGACTGCTTGATACTAACAGCATACTTTCCAGTAGCCTGGAAAGTATGACAAGTTCCTAGTCCAGATCACTTCCGAGGACCGTTGCCTTGCTTGATGACACATAACACTACTGTCGGACAACATGATGTTTGAATTCATGTTGGAAGTTTCTCGTGCAGGCACTTGAACTTAAAATTCACGGATGATTATCAGAATGCGGCCCACAAAATGACCTGCTGCTCGATGCGTCGCTACCCAGCAGTCCCTCCGAGTGGTCAAAATGTGACGGCACAATAGATGAATGCAGTGGTGGTCCTGAGCTGTCTACCATTTATCATTTAATTTAATCGCGCTGGGATTGGCTCAATGAGAAAGCCGCACATTTGATAGTACGCGACCCTGACGATAGCAACCAGCTGCACAATGTCATACCTCTCTTCTTACGTCTTGCAGAACTCTTGCCACTGTGTTGATAATGGCAGGCCGGAATCGCACAGGGGCCTTGATTCTGCTTCCTCATCTGTCGGTCGAGCGCTGAGCTGTTCGATGAGAGTCGGGTCAAGCACTTCCTCTCGTCACGTAGAACGGTCGAGTCTTTTTTTACAGCAGCAGTTGGCATTTAATAAATCGCACATACAAGTTGGTACATGAAGCTATCGTCGAGCATGGCCCGTTTTCCGATCCGGGCCGTCTTGGACAGTCACTGAGTGCCACTACGGTACATTGACTCTCCGAGTGTGGCCCCCGAACTCCGAGAACTTGATAACTAACGGTGACCGTACTACCGTACTACCGTAACCGGACGGTAACCAACTAACCGTACTGTAACCGACTAACCGTTGCCAGTTGAACCGTACGGTACTGTAACCGTAACTGTTATCGGACAGGCCAACTTGGCAAGTTCCCGGTAGGTTTGCTGTGCTGAGGCGGGTTCAGACCATGCCTTTAGCAAAGTTCGTAGCAATGCTGAGAAAGGGAGCGGAGGGAGTTTCTACGAGGGAGGGGCGGAGAAGAGGAGCGGAGAAGAGGAGCGGAGAGCTGAAGAAGCAAGTGTGGTGAAGGATTGATCAGCATGGCAGACAGGGGCAGCTTGCGGTGGAAGAAACTCTGCGACTTCTTCGAGCGGAATTCGCGACAAACGAAGAGGAATAGGAAGGAGGAATCGATCGCTGGCCTGCTGAAAGAGCACAGGTCAAGAGCTCCCAAGGGCGCAGACATGGGCTCCCACATGTACCAGCTGATCAGAATCTTGCTGCCGCAGTTCGATCGTGAGGAGATGGGCGCCAACGTCTCCTACAACATGAAGGAATTGTCGCTCGCCCAACGATTCATTGAAGCCCTCTCTCTCAACAAGAAGTGCGAGGATGCTCAACGGTTGCTGGGATGGAAGCAGCCGATAGCGGGGGAAGGGATGGGGAACTTCTCTCTCGTCCTCGAGAACGTGCTGAGGCCGAGAACGGAATCGAACGAGGAGGGGAAGATGACCCTGGGAGACGTGAACGCATTCCTGGATCAGTTGAGCGAGAATGCAAGCAACTCCAAGAGGCAAGCGATCCTTCTGGCAGAGCTCCTGATCCGAGCCAGTGCGTACGAGATTAGGTGGATAGCCCGGGTGATCCTCCGAGAATTGAAAGCAGGCTTGTCCGAGAAACTCGTGCTCAATGCTTTTCATCCAGACGCCATGGAATTCTTCAAGATCAACACAAATCTTCGTGAGGTTGTGAACAAGTGCAAGGATCCAAAAGTGCGTTTGAACAAGATCAACATCGACTACTTTCAGCCCTTCAATCCCATGTAAACCCTTCTCCTCCTTCTCCCGTCCACCTCCATTTGATTCTGTTGACGGCTTACTGAGTTTCGTTGTGTTGCTCAGGTTGGCAGAAAAGGTCACTGATCTGCAGGCTGTACCAGAGTATTTCAAGAATCGAGTGTTTTGGATTGAGAACAAGTTCGATGGTGAAAGGATTCAGATCCACAAGTGTTTTGATCGACTCTCCTGCTACACGAGGAGGGGGAACGACTATACTGAACTCTACCAGCCGTTGCTGGATATCTTGAGGAGAGAGAAGTTGATAGCTGCGGAGAGATGCATCCTCGATGGTGAGGTGGTGGGTTGGAACTTTGACCAGCAGAAGTGGGAAAAGTTCGGTACGAACAAGTCGATAGCGATGAGAATGGGGAATGATGGCGATGATTGGGAAAAGCCCCGCCAGATGTCCAGCTCCGATTTTGCAAACTCTGGAGCCACAAAGAGCACCTTGTGCTTTGTTGTGTTTGACATTGTTTGCGAGGGAGACACGGTAATGACTGACTGGCCGCTGAAGGAGAGGAGGGAACGACTTGTTGAAATCATCCGGGAGAAAGAAAAGATCGTTGAGATAGTCAAGCACGTTGAAGCCTCTGACAGCGGAGAAGTGTACAAGAAGCTTGAAGAGGCTTTGGAAACGGAGGAGGAAGGGATTGTTCTCAAGAACCCGGAGTCGAAGTACGTTCCGAAGTCGAGAGAGAAGGGAGAGTGGATGAAGCTGAAGCCTGACTATCTCGGAGGGTCGGAAGAGTTTGACTTGTTGATTGTTGGAGGAACTTACGGGAAAGGACAGCGAGGAGGGCAGGTGTGGCAGTTCATTTGTGCTGTTGCAGACGAACCTCGAGAAAAGGGCAAGCCGCCCTCGTGCTTCCGCACCATGTGCAGAGTTGGAACGGGGAAGACAAGGGAAGAGTTCATGCAGCTTTTCAACCTGCTCAAGGAGAACATGAGGCCCTACAAGCGCCTCACGCAAGGGAAGACGGCTGTAGACCGGGATGTGAAGTTCGAGAGGAAGCAAGACTTTACTTCCGTCCAGTGGCAGCAGAAAGACGGCGCTGACCCGGTCGAGGTTCTCTTCTCGGGGAACGCCAAAGAGGAGGTGAAGCCTGCTTCCTTGCTGCCAGAGGCTGATTACCTGACGGGTTTGGTGGTCAGGTGGACGTCGTCTTTGATCCAAGAAAGAGTAGGGTGCTGACCCTGGTGGCCGACTATCGTCTCATAGAGTCCAACGTATTCATGGCAGCCCGGGGGGTTGAAGGAAAGGACGACAAGACCGGGTGGACGCTCCGGTTCCCTCGCATCCGAGAGGGCGGATATCGGTGTGGCGAGATGGGTGGAGACGAGAAGCCCTGGTTTGACTGCATGACGTCCCGGCAGTTCGAGGAAGCCATCGCTCGATCGCAGCAGCCGTATCACATCCACGAGATGCAGGCCTTTAACAAGGCCAAGGGAGGGAAGAAGCGCAAGCTGAGCCAGTCCACGGGTAGAAGGACGCGAGGCGCACGAGTTATCGAGGACGCAGCGTTCAGTGGCAACAGCTACGAGGCAAAGTACGACGTGTTCAAGGGGATGGAGATATGCGTGCTGCCCGGAGATCCCGAGCAGAAGAGGGAGACAGAGCAGCTGGCTCGGGAGCTGGGAGCGACGATGGTGGCAAACATCGACAGCTTGACAACGCACATCATCGGGATGAGGATGGATCAGCGTTTTAAGAACCTCAAGGAGGCTGATTGTGACGTCATCGGGAGGCATTGGGTGTCCGAATGCTCCGAGAAGAAGCGGCTGGTTGAACTCGCCCCCCGGCACATGATGCATGCTTCTGCTGCTCGCAGGAAGGAGTTCCACAACCTTTACGACAAGTTCGGCGACAGCTTCACAGAAAGGTGCACCGAGAAGGAGCTGGATTTGCTTCTTGACGATCCCCAAGACCCCAAGGTGAGGACGACCAGGTGTCATTTGCAATGATGTGCATGCGCAGACGTGGGAGGATCTGTTCGACGTTCACAGTGACGGCGAGATCGACGACGAGGAGATGAAAGAGCTCGAGGATAGCCTGGCGACCCCCTACAAGTCGTTGAACTGGTCAAGTCTGAGGTCTGCGAAGCTCTCTTGCTTGTTCCTCTCTTCCTCTTTCCTTCGCCGCTTGCTTGCTTCCATGAGGATGACTTGACCTCAGGGGAGATCGCGTCCTTAGCTTGCGGTCCGATGACGCGTCAAACTTTGCACGAGACTGGCTGGAAGCTTGCAAGATCCTCTGGAAGAGCAGAGGCTGTGTCATAGAGGAGAAGTCGGTCAAAGACATGCAGAAAGATGGTCGCTGGATGCCAAGCTTACGCGATTATGACGTACTGCTCGTGGACAACGAGCAGGTAACTTGCTCTTCTTTTCCTTCCGCTTGCTGATGTCATACCAGCTGATCAAGGAGCTTCAGCGGCAAGGCGTCAGAGCTCGTTTCCTTTCTCCTGCCTGTGACATCAACTTGGAAGGAAGAGAATAATCTTTTGTTCATTGACATGTCAAGCTTTCATCCTAACCCTACTGATCATCAGTAAATGGTATCAGACTGAGATGAATAAAGCCACAACAAATTATTCATAGAAATTGCAGATGTGAATTCCTTCCCAGCGAAAGTTGCGCTAAATGATCGACAAAAACATCAGCAAACAAAAGAGACCAGGCAAATCAAACTTTCATCATTCATTTCTTCTCTCATCTACCCCAAAAAGGATCTTGTGCAACTGTGTATCGCCGCCTCCTCCTCTGTATCGTGCTCGCAAAGCTCCCGGGCATCGGCAGATACCTCTTGTTTGCTGGTCGATCTTGTCGCGCACTCAAGGACTCTCCGAGGATGAAGACCTGGTTGTACTTCTTGTGGCCCTTGCACCAGTCAGGAAGGCATTGCCAGAGCGCGGGCTCGGCTGAGTCGTCGAGGAGGAGAGGCTGCTGGACGGAAGTATGAACGGTGAAGTTGGACGAGGAACAAGCTCGGGAAGCGAGGAGAACTTTTGCAGGGAGAGCAGAGAGGAGAGGACGAGCAAGGGAAAGGACAGATGAAGCCATGAAGTTGCGAGCAGGATGCGTTGTAGGAGGAAGGAGGACCCCTCTATTATTCCCCACCTTGGGTGGCCTCACTGGTCATTACGCCACTCTGGAGTAACACACAGGTCCATAGAGATGCGGCTGTTTGGTTCACTCGTATCGAAATTTGAAATCTTGGAGCTTAATTTCATCCCCATATCCTCCAAAGCTTCAGATACGCCCAGGCAAACTTGGCCCCCCGTCAAGCAAGGGTCTCTTTACTACTCTACAGTGACTTATAAGATGTCGGATGACGGCCTCAAAGAGCAGGTGCAAGTCAAAGTTACGTGCCGGCGGCGGTCAAACTCCGTCGCATCCGTTGGCAGACCACTTGAGCAGGCAGGCCAGGTCTGCCACCTTGCAGCAGACCATCGGGGCAGGCGGGCAGGAGCTGCAAGACTCGTCAAAGACCCCATGCTGCCCCTTGACAGGCAGATCGCAAACTTTACCGACAGATGCGCGCAAAGGGAGTCGGAAGCACTGACTGCTGATCTGCTAGTGCTGCGATGGAGAAGATGCCGCCTCCCTGATGTGGATAAGGATGAGCAACCTCGATCATAGAGGAAGGAGAGAAGGAGGGAGGACTGGATGGTGAAAGTGGGGAGGGATAGAAGAGTCAAGGGCAGAACAAGTTTCGAGAAGCGGACACAAGGTAACCAGCTGCTGCAACTCACCTGTGCTGGGCAAGAGGACGGGGAGAACTGGAGGTCCTGGACTTGGATGGAGAAGGTCTCCTCTGACTTGAAGCAAGGCTCTGAGTCACAGGATTGCACGTCTTCCGTCGCTGCCAGGTCCAGACACTTTCGGAAGCAGACTCCTCCTCTCCTGTCGCTGCAGCCTGCCAACACACCAATCAACTGTTCCTCCTCATCAGCTCCTCCTCCTTCACCTCGTAGCGTCACTCCCATAGTCGCATTGCTCTCGTTCCACATTGCGTGCCCCGCGAACAGATCCTTCGACAACCCCTGTGCCACAAACCCAATTAGGTTCCCATCCTGCTGCTCCTGCTCCTTCTCCAACTCTTCCTCCTGCTCCTCCTGTTCCTGCTCCACCTCGTACTTCTTCTTGTTCTTCCTCTGATGCTGCTGCTGCTCCTGATGCTGCTGCTGCTCCTGGTGTTGCTGCTCACCTGGAGTGCGATGGTCGGCATGGCGCCTGTGAAGCAAGGGAGATGAAGGAGAAACTGGTACCCCAGCCGCAGAGGCATGAGAGTGGACCAGGAGAAGAAGAGGGAGCCGGTCACGGGGCTCCACATCATGGTGGGAGAGTTGCCAAAGGATCCGAACGTGTCAAACTCCTGCAAGAAGGTCAGCTCAAGGTAGTTGAGCAACACAAGAGGAGCAGGATGCGGAAGGGTGAAGGGCTGGGAAGGAGAAGGCAGATAGGATCATGGGAAGAAGGACTGTTGGGTTGAGGTTGAAAGGAAGGACGGAGAATCTTACATCGAATTGGATTTTGTTCGTAACTATTCCCGAATGAGAGATCGCCCTGATAGACAGACACCTGGCGATCTGGATGGAAAACGTCACATTTATCCTTCACCTTGACATTATCATCATCATCATCGCCATCATCATTATCATCATTGTTCCATCACAACGATCATGATCAAGAAAGAAGCATAGTCATCCTTGTCATCGTGTGTTGTCCATTCTTTCACCTGGGCATCATCGCACGGCTTGACCCCTCCCATCGGACTTCTGATCCCGTTCACCTTAGAGACGTTGATCTGACAGTAAAGTCAGCGGTCGCAACCCGCAACGTTTCTAACAACGTCATGGGGTACCTTGATCGTGCTGCTCTCGTACATGTCATCGGCTGACACCACCGTAAGCACCATCCTGCTCTCCTTCAACAGCCAGTTTGCATTCTCCCACTCGCCAGAGAAGGAGATGTTGGAGGAGTTGGTGTCTGTTGACATGACCAGCCCCCCGTCTTGCCCGTCGAAGTCGGGTAAGGACACGATGATCTGGTCACCGACAGACAGCGAGAGGTGGAGGGAGAACTCCACCACAAGCTCTTCCTCCTCGCTCGCACGGGCAGTTGAGAGCAGGAGCCGTGCTGACGTCAGGGCCACACAAGATGAGGAGCTTGCCGCTCCTGCCTGCACGGTAGTGCTGTTGGAGCAAGAGGAGCAGCTGGAGGCGTTGGAGGAAGGGTTGAAGGTACCGAGAGGACACAGGGAGCAGCGAGACGATCCGGCAAGGGAGAAGCTCCCTGCATCGCAAGCGAGACAGTCGCCGAGAGACGAGTAGCTTCCTGCCGCGCACTTGAAGCATGCTGTCATCCCCGACTGACCGGAGGTACTCCATCCCTCATAGCAGGGGATGCAAGCAGAGGAGGCGTTGCGATCCGAGAAGAAGCCTGGAAGGCAGGGCTCGCAGGTCGCTGCTCCGCTCTCGTTCTTGAAGTAACCCGGCGAGCATGCGCTGCATGTGCTGGAGCCATCCTGAGAAGAGACGAAGCCGGGGCCACAGGAGACGCAAGCAGGCGAGAGCATGGAAGAGAAGGTTCCAGCTGGACACAACGAGCACGTCGAGCTGTTCCTTGCGACGCTGAACTGACCAAGTGGGCACCTGTTGCAGGGCTCTGCTCCTGTTGGACTCCAGAAGCCTTCAGCACATGCTCGCACGCAGTAGGTCGGGTTGGTCTCTACTGTGTCGAAGCCTTGAGGGCAAAGCTCGCAGAACGTCTCTCCCCCACCAGAGTACTTCCCCCTCTCACAGCTCACGCAAGGCTCCAACCCCCCGGACGTTGACGAGGCGCTTCTTGTCCCTGGGCCGCAGGGGCCGTGACAGTCGCTTGACGACTGCGAGCCGGCGGCATAAGTTGACATTCCAGCTGGACACGCCAGGCAGGCCGTGTTCTCTGTTGAGGCGTACTTGCCCTTGAGGCAGAGAGAGCAGTTTCTAGAGCCGAACGACTCCGAGAAAGTCCCAGCTGGGCATGGGGAGCAGACGTTACACGCGTCCGAGGCGCAGTACTGACCTGGGAGGCAGCAGCGAGCTTGCTGGAGAGTTGAAGAGCCTCGTCAGCACAACAGGGGAGCAAGAAGGATCGAGAGACTCCTGACCTGAGAAGCCCCGGCCGAGTCCAGTTGGCCCGAGCTGGGAAACACCTGGCAAGGAGAGCAGGAGGAGGAGCCTGCGAAGGAGAAGGAGGAGGGAGCGCAGGCAATGCAAGCCGTGGCATTCGCATGCGAAAAGAACCCTGCTGGACAGGAGGGACAATCCAGCTGCCCAGAGCTGTTGGAATATTTCCCTTGACGACCCCACAGTGAGATCCCTTAAATTGTGAAGATGGAAAGGAAGGAGAAGAACAAAGGGACAGCAAAGAAGGAAAAGGGAGGGAGAGGAGAGTGCAGAAGCAGCAGGCGATGTGGTGCTATCTGGAAGCATGGAGGGATGAAGATTGAGCCGAGGAGCGAAAACTTCACCTGCTGTGCACATCAGGCAAGGGCTCTCAAGACTCGGACGTCCTCCTTCACTGGTCGTGGAGCTGCCAGGGAGGCAGAGCTGGGTAACGAGCTGAAGGCAGAAGACTGTCAGGCGGGCCATGGGTCTTGTTGGACGTCACCTGAACAAGGGTCTGATGGGGACCAGCTAGCGCAGACAGGATCCTGTAGTGCTGACACTCGTCCTCCCCGAGGAAGGAGCAGGGGTCCTTGCGCGTCTTGACGAACTGGTTGTCGTAGGAGGAGGGGGCCGGCTGGCGATCAAGCTGCGCGTCGCTATCGGAGCCGAAGAGCCACAGCTCGGACGAGTCGTAACCTCCCTTGCCCACTAGCACAGCGGTGTGCTGGGACCCTGCTGAAACATCGATTGCCGATTCTCCGCCCAGGACTGAGAGGTCGACCCGGCTCGGGGCACCGACTTTCTCCTGCGAACCCAGCAGCTGCCCGTGCTGGTTGCTCCCGAAACCGTAGAGGTGTCCGTTGTCACTCAAGAGGAGGGAGAACCAACGCCCAGCTGCAACCTTGCTGAAGTGAGAGCAGGTCCCTCCTTCGCACCTCACAGCCTCCAAGTTGACCGGGCGAGGAGAGCAGATGACCGAGTCCCTCTGGAACCTTCCCTCCTCAATCCCCAGCTGCCCGTACGAGTTGCTGCCGAACGACAGGACAGAATTCTCTTGAGTTAGGAGCAGGGAGTGCCTCCTGCCAGCTGCCATCCAGCTGACTTTTTGATTCTGCAGGATCACTGTGGGAACGAAGTTCGCTTGCCATGAGCCGGCGTTGGTGCAGTAGCCGAGCTGTCCATGGCGGTTCAGCCCAACAGAGAGGACGCGATCGCCGTCAGTCCGCAGCAGAAGGTGATGGTCACCAGCCGCTACATCCACCACAACCTCCCCCGGCAGCATCCCCGAGATCGGCTGCGGCGTCCAGCTGGGAAACTCCGACCCCACGTTCTCTGACCTGCCGAGCTGGCCGTAGCGGTTGAACCCGAAGGTGTAGACCTGACCCGCCTCATTTAGGACGACCGAGATGTACCTGATCAGATCTTAGTCAGAAACACCCTCCGAACCCTCGAAGAGCTGCCACTCTTACCTCCCGGCTATCACCTTCCTTATCCTGCTCGTGCCCAGCAGGCTCCTTTGGATCTCCAAGGGCCGAGGATGCGATTCCCGGCGGTCCTCGCAGTCATAAGGCGCCTGGTCGGGGTCATAGCAGGAGGACTTGAGCGAGGGTTTGAACCCCAGCTGACCGTAGAAGTTGTCCCCGGCAGCCAAGAGGCGGTCATTGACGGTAAGGAAGAGAGAGTGAGAGAAGCCCGTCGATACAGACAGGACCGACTCCTTGTCAAGCCCAGGGACCCCGTCTGTCAAGAAGTTCGCGGCTTCTTGAGCTAGTGTGAACTCCTTCTCGCCTCCTGTCCCTAGCTGACCCCACTGGTTGCTCCCAAACCCAAAGATACGATACTTCATCCGTGAGCAGTAACCCGACGAGCTCACTCCAGGATACCTTGTAGTTGTTCCATTCGGACAGCGATGGCACGAGACAGAGGCCAACTCTTCCTGATAGTATCCTATAGGGCAGGACAAGCAAGTGGTGCTGATGCTTGCATTCTGGTAGAAACCAGGTTCACAAGTTGTGCAAGAAGACATGTTGGAAGCTGAGAAACTCCCAGCATCGCAGTCGTAGCAGAATGTCTGTCTTGATTCGTTCTGATACCTTCCAGCTGGACAAGGTGTGCAAGAGTCCTCCCTTGCGAGGCCATCCGGGCTGTATGTTCCTGGAGAGCAGATGGGGTAACACGTAGTGGCGTTGGAGGAGACGGTCCCGTACATATACGGGCACTGAGAGCAGACGACAGCCCCGAAGACTTCAGTGAAGGTGTCACGAGGACATACTTGGCAGGGCGACAACCCTTGATTGCCTACAGTCTGCTTGTTGCCGTGGGTTCCTGGAGGGCAGATCAAGAGGCAGCCAACGTCGAGGGCTTGCAGGTCTCCCGTGGTATTCTTCCCTACCGCGCAGTCGAAGCAAACACTCGATCCTTCCTCTGAGTACTTGCCTTGCATACAGGGCTCGCAAACCTTACCCTCGGCCTTGCCCTGGTACTTGCCAGCAGGACAGATGGTACATGGCTGCAGTCCCGTAGCGGAGAAGGAGCCGGGAGGACAAGAAGGCCTGTGAGTAATGACGAAAGTTTGATCGCATCCAGCAAACACCCGATGAGCATGCATGAAGCCTGTGTCGCATGAGGTAGAGCCGATGACTTGTCCTGCGCACCCGAAGATCGAGTTGTTGAAGAGATGAAGGCTGCTGGCATCCGCCCCTTGACTCGTCGTTGTTCCCAGCTGCCCCTCATGATTTGAACCACTGAGGAACAAGAGAGGATCCTCTCCGTCCCCGACCGTCACAAGAAGCAGAGCGTGATCATTGCCTGCGGCAACCTGCGAGACGTTCCCATCAGAGTCAACCACAAGAGGATCGCTGGATATCAGGAAAGGCTTGAATACAGAAGCTCCAGTGCCGTATCCTCCTGCAGCTGCCGTCAGCATTCCATGGTAATTCCTTCCGAAACCCCAAACCCTCCCGTCACTGCACTGCAGGAATGTTGTGAATTGTCCAGCATAGATCGATTCTGCAGTACATCCCCCAAACAAGGCACTGTCAACCTTGACGGGTCTGCGGTAGATAGCAGCATCAGCAGCTACTCCATTCCCAGTTTGAATTGGTCCGCATTGACCCCGAAAGTTGGATCCAAAACAGAAGAGTCCCTCATTCGTCATCAAGACACTATGATATCGCCCCGCAGCGATTTTTATGACCGAAGCCTCGCCCATGTTCGAGGTATCGATCGGTAGGATGCGGTAATCCGATCCTTGCTCCCCTTCCGGATTTCCTGTGCGACCCAACTGACCGAAGGTGTTGTCACCCCATGTGAAGACACCAGACTCGTTCAACATGATCGCATGATAGCTCCCAAGCACGAGTTGAGTTATACTATCTGCGTTGACATCAATCTTCTGAGGGATCTCCATGTACGCTTCTTGATTGCCAAACCCATCCTTCCTGCCGAGCTGTCCATAACGATTCGACCCCATGCTGTACAGAAGCTTTTGACCCCCTTCTAGCGCGACGAAGGTCGAGAAGCTGTCGCCAGCAGACATTTGCGTGACAGTGTCAAACCCAATGGTTGTAGCCTGCCCATTGGGAGAGATGCTACCCACGCGATCTGACCGTCCCAGCTGACCGAAGAGGTTCGAGCCCCACGTCCAGAGCTTGCTGGTAGTTGCTTCCTTCCTAGCCATTCCATGATGACACCCGAGCGAGACCTGTAGCACATCCCCTTCCAACTCCTGTTTGCATGGTAAGCAACGGGTCCCTTCAAACAAATATCGCTACCTGTACATGTGCTGGAACAGCCTGTCCTGATTGTGTTCCTGCTCCCTCAGCCCTTGCCAGCTCTCCGTAGAAATTCGATCCGAACGACCATACTTCAAACAGTTTTGTGTCGAAAGAATAGTAAGAACTGTCTGTCGCGACACAGGATACTCTGATCTTCTCTGTAGACGTAGAGTCCGACGAGGTGTCACAGTTCGGCAACAGGCTCCAGCTACCCCCGACCTGCAGGGGGCTGCTGCTACTGCTGTTCACAAGATAACAACTCGGAGACCCCGAGGTCTGAATGATCCATGTTCCGTTCTGACGAGAAATAGAGGTTTCTTTCAACTTAGAGACCCAAAGGAAAGAGTCCAAACATTCAACTCCATCTTTGTTCGTCAACGACCTCTTGTACAGCCCGTCCACCTCTCCCCATCCCCTCGCACTTCTGACCCACAGCCAAGGGCAAGCTGGGATGCCCTCGGCGTCGCAAGCTGGAGGAAGGGAGGAGGAGGAGGAGGAGGAGGAGGAGGTCAGCATGCTGGTCATGAGCACGGCGCTCAAGAATGGCGCGAGCCCCATTCCGCCGCTCAACCCCATGACGACATGACAGTGGAAGGGTCGCCGACCGTTATTCCTTTCAACGGACATCAAATTTGATGAGTAAAAAGTCTCGACGAGGCGGGCCGGATCTGTTCCGCAAGTCAAGAACGAGTGGCTAGTTAGCTTTTAGAGAGGGGCGGGTCAAGATCAGGGGGGTAGGGTAGGTGGGTAGGGGGTAGTGCCGTCAATCATTGGATCGACCGGAGTTTACCACCCCACCCTTCACCTGTGCATGTACCCCACCTAGAGCATTCCTCACCAGCCAAGAATGGGGGGTGACTGGATGACGGGTCCTGGAAATCCTCGGCTTGGGGACTTTTTTGACCTCTTTTTTTTGTCAATAGGCTTCATAGTTTACTAAGACCATACTCTAGAGACGGGTCCTAGGACAGTTTCCTGAGTTTGTACGAGGAAGTCAAAGTTCCGAGTCGCCCTCAGAGGATCCATATATTCGAGTGTTACACTGGTCCTAGGATATAGGAAACATTCCTAGGACCAGGCTATATGCTAAGGGGAATAGAGGATCGGGCGGGATGGCGCGAGCACATGGGGTCAGGGAGATGGCAGGGCGAGGGAGCGAGGAAGGAGTGGAGGCTGCAGGAGGAGAGGAGGAGGAGGAGAGCAGAGATGTTTTGTGCGAGGAAGCAGTGAAAGACGAGGGCAGAGGAGCGCAGCAGATGCAGAGGAGAAGAGGGGGGCTTCAGATGGGGAACTGACTCTCGTGCTGGGGCATCGGGATAGACGAGAGGAGAAGGTAGGGAGAGTCTTTGATGAGAAGGATGAGCTTGCAAGGCATGACCGCTCACGGATATTCGCTCGGAGACGTTAGAGTCTAGAGTGAATCAGATTGCTGTGATCGGGGGCACGTGCTTCAAATCCTTTCAGGTTTCTCATGCTGGTTGGCAGACTCGCGTGGGATGTTGCAGTTAGCAAGCATCTGAAGACTTGAGGTGACCTTCTTTTTTGCTCCCCTTCTCGCACCAGTACTGCTTCATTTGACTGGTTCAATCCCAGCAGCACTTGACTTCTCTTGACTTCTCGACGATGAACAGCATGTCGTCACAAAACAGTGAGGGATTGCTGTTGAGCTTTTCGATGACAGCCTGAGCTTCTTACAGAGCGATATGGAATCGGAATCAACTTTGCAAAGAACAGCTCTGACGAGGGCTTCACCATATTAGGTGAGCCTTATCGTGATGTCCTGGTACCCTGTTCTCTCATGGAAACTTAGCGCTGGTCCCCGGACAACCTGCGTCCTTGTGCGGAAGGCTTTACGTTGGAGACAAGGTTGATGAGACAGAAGCATGCTCTTACTGTGCAACTCAACGATGCCGCAGCTCTTGGCCATCGATGGCTGGCTGTGCTATCAACAGCCTATCGAGACCGGTGACATCTGGGCTCCTGGAAGTTAGCTCAACACTGAGTCGATGAATGCTCCCTTGGCAGTGACTGACAAGCTCCTTGGACCCGAGGGATCGAGTGTTGTCGTTTCTGTTCAGAGGCAGACGGGAGAAATAGTACAGAGCTCGAGATATGTCCAACTCGTCACCTTTCCTCGCAGGTTCATGTCAGCTTGACAAGAAAATCGCCACCTGGAAGTCCGCAGGTATTTATCTTGTTTCTATCTTGTTTCAAAGCTTCACAGTCGGCAAGTGATGTCATTTTCAGGCTCCTTCCATTCCCAGCTTGAGCTCTCAGACAGCTCCAAGTACTCTCCTTCTCCCTCCAAGGTCGGACGCCTCCCCTAACCCGTTGTGCTTCGTTCAGATGTTGGGATGATGTCGACTCCTCAAGCGAACATCTCTCCGGTATGCACTTGTTCAGTCAATGTGGGGTCATGTAAATCGTGCTCAGATTGTTCCTCAGACGAAGTTTTCTCCGACAAGCTTGTCCTTCAAGTAACGATTCAGAACTTGGACTGCATTTTAAACGATGATTGGAATTAGCAGCAAATCACCACAGAACTTGAGTACAACTGACAGCTCTTACGGAAGAAATGTGCTTCCTGGTTCAAACATGATGTCTATGCCCTATGGTTGTACTGTTTGTGTGCGGAAGATACATTCACTGATCGATGCGTGCAAGGCGTTCGGCCTCAAGATTTTGTCGGCAACGATGATGCTCGGAGCGAAACAACAGAGTCTGAGAAAGGAAGGATGCTTGAGCAACGGCAAATAGTATGTTTCTTCATATCCAAGTCTGACTCTCTTCTCTACAGCGACATGATAAAAAGTCTCGGCCTTCGCTCTCTGCCGTCATACAACAACCCAGCAGATCAGATCATGAGAGCTTCGATGCCTGAGCAGCGGGCTGGCATGGAAAGTTCTACCTCGCTGGTGCTCATCCTTGCATCATGCCTTGCCAGACGCCCTGACGCGAACGATGCAGCCTGTGCCTGAAATTCAACGAAGCTTCCCGCCCGAACGCAGCGGCAGAAGTGCGGCTCTCGATCGTCCCCTTGCGAACTCTCTGCCGTATCAGGTCTCTCCTGTCCCTTCGACTTCTCTTGTGCTCACAAGGTGCAGCCGAGGTTCGACATCTCTCAGTCAGGTCAGTACCCGGCCTTTGGCAGCAAGGTGCAGCCGGACTATATGGTAAGTTCCCACCTCTTGACGCGCCTGGCCCGTCTGACAAGCCTACAGCCTCGCCAGACGTCCGGCATGATCCCTGAAGGCAGCAGCAGCGTGCAGGTGGGAGAGATCAGCTGAGAGTCTCGAGGTCAAAAGTTGCTTTGCAGCTTAACAACGACAACATGGCATCTCCAATATCAACTCCCCGCCCTCTGCTGACTGAGGTGAGAAATGCTGCCGGCAAGGAAGCCAAAGAGAGAGAGTATAATCCGTGGTGACTCGGCAGTACGTGAAGGCACTGGAGGCATCGAGACAGGTTCGTCTCCTGCTTCCACCTCCTCCTTCTTTCCTCCTGTCTCCCTCCTCCCTCCTCCCCTCTCCTTTCTCCCTTCCTTCTCATCTCGGCCCGGTTACTTGAGTCATCAGGAGCTTTCCAAGATGAGAGAGAAGATCGGACTTGATCGGTAACTCACTCGCTTGTCAACCTTGTCCCTGACAACCGCTGCAGAGAGCCAGTCCCTGAAGGAGCAGACAGGCAGCAGCTGTGAGGCTGTCGAACAAGGAGTGTGCTGACTGTCATGTTGTTTCAGAGAAGAAGATGCAAAAGACAGCAGAGCAAGGTACTTCACACATGCATGATCATCACCTCCTTGCTGCTCCTGTTTTCCTCTTGTTGCTCCATCTACGATATCGTCATCCTGAGCTTCATCCTCCTTTGGTCACAACTTCTCTCTTCAGTTCGGTCGTTGCTCGGGTCGATTCTGACGAGCAAGAAGGTCTAGTCAAACTTTGCCGTTGATTCAAACTGACTGCTGATCTGCAAGACTCCGAGTGGATGGGGCTCGACACAGGTTGCTTTCTTGCTTGTCAAACTGCCGCCGCCTGACTGTTGCGACCCAAGTCGAGATGCGAGACAAGAGGACGCCCGATCGCGCAGACACCTCGACTAGGATCGGGTCGACCCGTTCTCGCTCCGTCCCTCCTTCTCGTCCAGGTGGCCAACAGGCAGGCCGAGGAAGCGGCACTGACCTGCTAGCAGAGGCGTCACAACCCAAGGGAGGCCCCGCGATCAGAGGTCGATGAATGTTACGAGTTTCTCTCCTCCTTGACCTCCGCTCTAGCAGCCGGCAAACTTTCAAACCCATCAAAGTCTAAGAATGCTCTTTCCCTCCTCCAAGGCTGACATGAAGCGCAGGAAAACTACAACGACGCCTGTTGCTCCGGCGCGGTAACTGTTACTCCTGCTCCCTGCTCCTGCTCCTGCTCCTGCTCCTGCTCCTGCTCCTGCTCCTGCTCCTGCTCCTGGCTGTTCCACCTCTTGCAAGTTCTGTCGCAGCTCGTCTCCTCATGGTAGAGCAGGACAAGCAAGAGCAACGTGTCAAACCTGGAGCCCTCCAAGGCTGCCGCTAAAGTTCGCGAGCTGGTCTGACTGTCCCTGTGCGCCGGTCGATTTCTCACTGCTGGTCCTGCAGGCGGACAGAGAGATCGAGGCAGCCAACGAGAAGACGACAGTGATGGCAAGAAAGTAGGACAAGAGTGTCCGACTTTCCTTCGTTGACTAGTGGACCTGACAGATACGGCATTGCTCGCTCAGAAGCCTCTCGGCTCAAGGTGGAGAGCGACGATTGCCCAGCTGACGAGCTGAGATGACGGCAGGACGAGCTGAGAACCCGCGAACTTGAGATTGAACTTCTGCAGAGGGAGTTGCAGGTAAAACTTCTACGTGCTCGCTCTCTCCCTCCTGCTCCTCCTCGTCATCGTCATCGTCATCGTCCTCGTCCTGTCTTGTCTTTCCTTCAATCCTAGCCCTGAAGTCATGGCAGAGCCGGGACGAGGAGCTGAAGGCAACGGGCGCACACACAGGTCCAGCAGAAGAGCAGCAGCACGTCTGAGCTGACAGTCTGAACCCACTAGAGCACATCCATGACACCATGCTGCGCTTACGGTGTGCCTCCGGCACCCCGTCCACTCTCTGTCGTCCTCAACTCCTTTCGTTCCTCTCCTTGATTTCACTGCTCTCTCCATCTCTCCTTTCTTCCCCTCCCCCTGCTCCTCTGCGTCATTCTCCTCCTCCTTCCATCCGTGCTTCCTTCTGCTCTCCGTCCTCCCCTCCCTCCCTCTCTCCCATCTCTCTCTCTCGCTTCCCTCATGCCGTTGATCAGCGCGATGGCGGAAGAGGCTGGAGCAGACAAGGACATAGTGCAGGTGGGAGGGTCGGCGATGCTGAGAAGCAGCTGACCAGGGTGCGGGCGCAGAGGACTCACTCGCTGGCAATCGAGAACGCAAGGAAGAGAGAAGAGCTCCACGTGCTCTGACATGCTCCTGCCTCCCCGACAGCTGACGAGGTGGGGCAGGTGAAAGAGATCGACAGGCTAAGGAACCAGGTGACTAGTGTCGTTCATCTCCTCTTCTGCCTCTGACAATCTCTTGCTACCAGCTCAACGAAATGAAGAAGAAGTCTGCTAAACAGGCACTTCCCCTCTTCCTCTCCTCTCCTCCTCCCCTCCTCTTCTCCTCTTCTCCCCTCCCATCTCTTCCCTCCTCTCCTCCTCTCCTCCTCCTCTCCTCTCCTCCTCCTGTCCTCCCCTCCTCCTCTCCTCTCCTCCCTCCTCCTCTGATGTGTATCTGACTACGGCTATCTTAGGAGACTTCCCTTCTCAAGGCCCAGAAGGACCTGCAGGTGACTTACTGGCTGTAAACCTGCCGAGCGCGTGGGTCAAACGGCTGCAGGACAACCAGCTCGACAGCCGAGTGATCATCTCCTCCCTAGAGCAGCGATGCGCTACTGCTGAGCAAGTCTGGCACACCGCACACTCCTCCTTGCTTTTCTTTGCCTTGCCCTTCCCCTCTGCCCCCGACTCCCTCCCTCCCTCTCCCCCTCTCCCTCTTCCTCCTCCTCCTGTCCCTCCCCACTTTCTCCTCCTCCTCCTCCTCTCCGTCCTTGTCCTCGTCCACATCCTCTCACTCTCATGTACACCTCGTCTGCAGGTTCGAAGTCTGATGCAGGATGATATCAACACTCTATCGAAACAAGTAAGAACATCGTCACGAGCTCCTGCTGTTTCCGCCTGCTGTTCCTGACAAGTTTCAAGGCAATGGACAAGGCTGTGAAGGAAAAGAACAAGGCGGAGCAGGACGCGGCTGATCTCTACGAGCAGGTACCTAGAGACTGGCGTGCTGCAGAGACAGGAAGGGCGAGAAGGTCGGGGGGTAGCCGCCTCCTTCCCCCTTGACGGCTCCTCCAGGCTCTCCGGGTCCACGAGGATGGAAGAGTGGCTGGCAAGGGAGTACAGCGACATGTCCCTCTGGCTGATCCTGCACGTAGGAGGAGAAGGCGAGCCAGGCAGAGTTGCGATGCGGGAGGCTTGAGGTGAGAGCTAGGGCGAGGGTCGGGACAAGGACGACAGAGGAGTACTGGACATAGACCAGGACGGCAAGGAGGAGAAGGAAGAGCAGCAGCAGCAGCAGAGCAGCAGGGAAAGTTTCTTTCTCTTTCTGAGATCAGCGGCTGACAGGCTCGAGTCTTGAGAAGCGAGGCCGATCTAGCTGCAGCCAGCACGCTGCTGAAGCAGGTGAGTTGCTCTTCCTCTCTGCTTGCTTGCTGACTGTAGTTCCAGCGAGAGGAGATGGCCAATCTCGACGCTCTGTCGAAGCTTGATCCCCTTGAGGTCAAAACATGCCTCCTACCATGCATCATCATCGTCATCGTCATCACTACCATCACCACCACCAACTTCATCCTCATCATCCTCTTCATCCTTTTGTTCTCTTCTCATTTTATCGCTCGGCAGGTTGAGATGGACACTATCTGGCTCCTTAGCAGCTTGTCAAGCGCAGCTGGTGAGGGACGAGGAGGGAGAGAAGCACGAGAAACAGTTTGAGCTCACGAAGATATCGCAGCGACTGTCCAACAGGAGGAACCGATCACAAAGGTTCCGCAGCTCCTCTTCCTCTTCCTCTTCCTCTTCCTCTTCCTCTTCCTCTTCCTCTTCCTCTTCCTCTTCCTCTTCCTCTTCTCTCCCCTTTCCCCAATGCCTCACACCCTTTGGTTCCTCCTCCTCCCTCCTCCCTCCTCCCTCCTCCCTCCTCCCTCCTCCCTCCTCCCTCCTCTCTTCTCTCTTCTCTCTCCTCTCTCCTCCTCCTCTCTCCTTCCCTCGCCTGGTGCTGACGTCATCACTCGCAGGAGGCGGTTGAGGATTCGCTGCAGGCTCTGACGCTCAGCGGGAACAAGCAGGAGAGCCATGCAATCACCCCCAAGCAAGCACAGATCCTCCTCACCCTTTTCCGAGCATCCAAGGTTCCCCCTCCCCCTCACTGCTCATTCTCCTCCTGACCCACCGACCCTCCTTCCGCATCGCCTCTGCTCTCAGTCTCTCCTCCCACTCCCCTTCCTCTTTCATCTCTCCTCTGTTTCTCTCGTTCTCCTGCTCTTTGCGTCTCCTTCCTCCTCATTAGTCCGCCTGACCGCTCATGACAGGTTAGAGGAGAGATGCTTGTCTCCTGTATCGGTCAGCTTCGAGCTCTGCTCCTCGACTTTGTTGACAGGTTCTCCTCCTCTAACTCCTCCTCCGCCATCACCTCCTCCTCTTCCTCCTACACCACCACCAACTCCTCCTCCTCCTCCTCCTCAGCCCTCTTCCTCTCCTCTCCGTCTCCCCATCGCCTCCTCATTCTCTGACGCTTCTCAGCAACGAGGACTGGCTCACCCACATCCCCATCGACCACAGCGACCTCCCTTCCCGCGAGGAGAATATCAGCTCCTCCAACATCCTCCAAGACCCAACGGCCGACGTCTCCACCGGTCATGAGGAGGGACTTACTGAGCTAGGTAGAGCTTGTCCCCCTCTGCCCTCCTCCTCTCCGCTCTCCCCTGCCGCATCGCCAGCTCCCCCCTAGCGAACCTCCCGCTCTCTACCGCCCTGTCAGCATCTCTCCTCTCCTCCTCCTCAAAACCACCTCCTTGCTCTTCTATTCACTCCACTCCATCGATATCCTCATCATCATCATCCTCCCCCCTCCCCCCTCCCCCCTCCCTCCCCTCTCCTCCCTCCTCCCTCCTTCCTCCTCCTCCGCCTCCTCTTCCTCCTCCTCCTCAAATAGTACGAGTTTCCCCTTTATCCTCTGCTCCACTGAGCCGCCAGCAGGGAGGAGGGTGTACACGTCCGGTATCCTCTCCAAGAGAGCTGCCTCGGAAGGCATCCAGCTCGAGCTCAGGAGGACGATGCAGCTGATGCACTCAGGCGAGCAAGTTTGCGGTGTGAGGGAAGGAGCTGACAGTCAGCTGAAGTCAACCAGACGTTGATCGAGGAGCGAGAGGGCCGCAGGTTCTCCCCTCCTCTCTTCAGCCCCTCATCTTCCCATCCTCTCCTCCTTATCCTCCTCTCCTCCTCCCTCCTCCCTCCTCCCTCCTCCCTATCCCCCTCCTTTCTCCCTCCTTCCTGCCGCATCCTAGCTTCCTTCTAGCCCCTCTCCTCCCCTCGTCGTTCTTGTCCTTCTTCAAAGTTCCAACCCCCATCGTCAGGAACCTCCTGGCGCAGTTGGCCCAGAAAGAAATTTTGCTAGCAAACAAGGAGACCGAGCTACAGGAGATGGTGAGATGACTTGCTTGCTCGAGATCTTTGAGCGTCTGAACCTATCGTCCTCCCCTCCTCTCTCTCCCTCTCTCCTCGTCCCTTTCTCTTCTCTTGCTCTCCTCCGTCTTCTATCTTCCGTCCTCCTCATTTCTCCCGCCTCGCTCTTCTTCTGCCCCCCCTCTGCTTTCTGACTCGTTCCCGTGTTTGCAGTCGAAGCAATGCGCCACTCTCTCCAACGCCTGCGACTCGCTTCAGGTTGTTTTCATCCTGGTTGCTCTGAGACAAGAAAACAAGTGGAAGAGGGAGAGGCACAAGCAGATAGCATGTTGAAACAAGATGATGTCGTAGCAAGGAGAAGGACGAGCACGAGGACGAGAGCGAGGACTAAGACGAGGACGAGGACGAGCAGTTCCACTGACGGTGGTACAGGCTCAGATCGAGAACATCACAGGAAGGTACGAAAAGATCGCCCAGGAGTCAAACGCCAGGATGTCCCAGCTTTCACAGGTCCTCCTCGTCCCACAACGTCCTCTGAGTTTGACTTCTTTCTTTCTCCTCAGAACCTCCACAGCGCTGGGCTGTCAACACGTACCATCACATGATGACGTGTCATAGAGGTGCTCACTCCTTGGCAGCCGTTCGCCCTCAAGAAAGCCAGTCGTCTCCTCCCGATGACAAGATCATGTACCTGCCTCCTTCACATCCCCCATCCTTTCCCCTTCACTCCTTTCCCCTTGCTTCCTCCTCCCTTATCTTCCCTCCCTCCTTTTCCCCCCACCCCCGCAAGTCATCCTCTCTTGTTGCCCTCCCTCCCTCCTCCCTCCTCCCTCCTCCCTCCTCCCTCCTCCCTCCTCCCTCCTCCTCTCCCGGTTCGCCTCACACACAAGCAGCGAGTCCGAGGGCTTCAAAGTCCTGCACCTGCGAAGTCCCGATGGAAGTCCCGACGCCAAAGGTGATGACGTCACCTCCGTCTTCTCCTCCTCGGTCAGCTGAGCGCCTGCTGGACAGCTGCTCTTGTCAGTGCCCTGCAGCAGAAGATCACCGAACAGCACGAGTGGGGCCTTAAAGCCTGGGCCAACATCCAGAAGCTGAACGAGAGGATCATGGAGCTCGAGGTTCTTCGCCCCTCCTCCCTCCTCCTCAGCTCTTGCTGCAACCCCTTCTCCCTCCTCCTCCTCTCCTCCTGCTCCTACCTGTCCTCCTTCCCGTCCTCGTCGTCATCCTCGTCCTCATCTTCGAGCTCTACACCTATCAATCTACCTCCTCCATCATCGCTTTTCATCCTACCTTCCCCACTTTCCTGGTCTCCTTTCCTCCTCGCCCTTCTTAGCTCTGGCCCCGGCAGATGGAGGCAGACCGTCTAAGGCTGGCAGCTTCCATGGTGAGCAGAGAGCTGGGCTTTCGACCTCCTTTCTCACCTGGAGGGCAGGCCGGAACGGAGCGGGACGAGGCAGTCAGGGCGAGCAGAGCAGCGGAGCAGGAAGTCAAGTCGATGGCGATGAGGGTGAGGGGAGGAAGGGAACAACGAGGGGCTGAACTTGAACAGCTGCAGGAGATGAAGAGAACGATCGAGACGCAATACCAGGAGGGATATGACAAGGTGGAAAACTTGCTGTCTTTATGCTCCCTCGCCTCCCCTTCCTATCCCCCTTCCCCCCGCTCTCTCCCTCCCTCCCTCCCTCCCT